CTTGCTATGCTCTCCTTTCTCCTTTCTCCTATCTTCTTTTCTGTGCCGTATTATACCGTATTATCTAATATTATCGCAGCCGTTATTTATTATTATGTCGCCACTATCAATGATATCAAAAGAGAAATTCAAAAGGTAAACAAGAAAAACCCCCACTAACGCCACGAGAAAGTGAATAGCAAGAATCATAAAATATCAAAAACATCAAAGTGAATACCTACCTAGAACTCATATCCATAGGTACCTAGGTATGTATATAAAAAACTATTACCTAGCTAACGCCGTACATGCGTGCGTACGTTCCATTCTATTCATTAGCTACCTACCTAGGTACTACCCATCCACCCATCGACCTACCTACCTACTTATCTACCTAGTATCTATAATAAATGAATATTTCAACTCCCTACCCATCTGAATGATATTCGCCAACGCTCCGCTCCTTCAACCACTCAACCCCTCAACCCCTCACCTCCACTCTTCTCATCTCAAAAACATAAAGATATAATACAAAAATAAAACAAGAAGCCTTTTAAAACATCACCCATGACTCGGTACTACACCTCCTCTCCTTTACCATCTTGCCTGCTCAATACCAAAAGAAAACTTCCAAAACATAAATACGACGCATCAATTCTCCCAACTCTTTAGACCATCCATGATAGAAAGTGTCTGACTTGCCCAATTATTATGTCCAGCCTGATCAGAAACAATCTCCATATCAATCTCACCCCTATTCTCATCCCTTCTAATCATCTCTCTAACAACAGTACCATTACTTTCAGTACTATCCTCTGAGCTCGTCGTATCAACCATCCTCCTTTTTGAAATCATTCTCGTCATGCCGCCATCAACACTATATCCCCGTCCATGCATACCAATAACATCCCCAGCTTGAACACCTCTAGTCTGGTAACTCAGTCCCCGCTGCTCTTCCATCCTTGTATTGTTTCTAGTACCGATAATTTCCATCAACTCCAATTTTCTCTCTGCTCCTTCGGCCCTTCTTCTCCACGTCTCTACTTCCTCCCTTGCTTCTCTCAGTTGCTCCGCCAGACTAATATGCTCAGTATCAGAGCTTGACCTCATTTCAACCATCCGTTGTAAATGCCGTACTTGTTCAGTCTTCTCACTTAACTGTTGTTGAAGACTGCGTATTTGCGAGTGTAAGACTGTATTCCCGCGACTCAAAGTATTCTTTGAAAGCGTTGCATCATGAGCAAGTAGTGATTGCGAATGTAGAAATTTATGTGCAGCTTCAAACTCGGATGACATTAGAGCCAAAGTTTCTGAGCTACCAATACTACTATATGCACCATCCATTCCAGCTGTTCGAATCTTCATAGATGGTTGATTCCCTACTGGCTTAAGTGGAACAGAAAGCGAGTTGAAAGTAGAAAGTGGTAATTTCAATGAAGATACAGAATCCTCATGAGAATCCTCAATTATAGCTTTAGGTGAGGTAGATTCTGGTACGAAATCTCTCAAAATTCTCTTTGGAGCTGGTATTTTGGTAGGCGATGATTGTTCTTGAGTTTGCTGAAATCGTTGGGCTAAACCGACATTGCGGAAAGACCGAATAGACTTTCCAGATTTAATGGATGCAATAGATCTTGATGGTGATGATGGCGGATTGATAGTATAAGGTGAAACAACACCACCGCCTCGTCGATTGTCCACAGACGTTGTAGCTGCCGGTCGAGCAGATTTAGCTGGAGTTGGTGATACCGGCGGAGGAGGTGTTGCCTTTACTGTGTCGAATTTTTCTGCTATGGCCCTTACGCTGACCTTCTTGGGCGTACTAGTGGGCTCGGGAGTGGGAATCTTCCGTGAACGGGGTTCTGCATGATGCTCTATGACTGACCTAGAAGGCTCACTCTTGTGATGATCTTCACTTGATTTTGAAGACCGACTCTCGGATTTTCGCTTCCGGAACATTTCCCTAATCGAAGCTACTTTTGACAAGGTAGCTGGCGAAGCAGTTTCATGAGGACGTTTTCCTTTCGCTTGCGTGACTTTGGGCTCCACTGATGTTGTAACGAGGGGTGCAGCAGAACCAGTCTTTTGTGAAAAATTACTTTTACTACTGGAATGACCGTCGGGCTTATGTATTGTCGCAGAATTTGGTGTGTAGGAAACATTGTTGCGAGGTGCTTGAGGCCGTGAAAAGTTTGGTGTATGGGGTTTCTCAGCTTCCGTTCTTTCATGAAAGTCTACCCCAGAATCATGTTTTGTTGACTTCTCGAATTTTTCTGCCGACTTTACCGATTTCATTGACAAGTCAGGAGATTCCAGAGCCTGTCCTAGCACAGCTAAAGATGCCAAGTCATCCTCATGTGAAACGCGAGAGATTGGGTCGATAGGACTATTCCCCTTCGAGGGTTCAGAACTTGTAAAACCTGGAAATCTCCGAGGATCCTTGCTCTCCGGAGCATGAGATGTACTGGGCGCGAATCTTATATGATTATCTCTGCTGGGTGGGTTATTCCGATAAGTCGGCGAAGAGCCTTGCCTAGAGTTTCGATTGTTATCATGCAAGAGACCAGATAAACTGGTCGTCTTCGTCTCCTTGGATTCCCTATCTGGTGATTGTTTAATCGATTGTGCTTTAGGTGTCTTATCATGGCCAAAATCCTTGGAATCCGTATCAGGTAACAGAACCTCAGCTTCAGTCGATTCGCTTTCGAAATTTCGAACAATACATTTGACATGACGCCCACTATTATGTTCAGCAGCTGGGCTCTTTTGATCATTTCCTTTCCCATTCCTTGTAGAAGGAGGTGGTCCACCACTTTGTGGAGTTTGCATGAAACTGAGCTTACTATCCTCAAAGTCGTTTTCATCAGGATGCTCTTGTACCAAAGCCGCCGAAAGAGCACTCGTAGATTTTGTATTCTTAAGAACTTCTCCCGGTAGCAATCGTTGACGTGATCGTTGCTTTGTGACTAATAAGGAATCTAGCTGCGAGGAATGAGCGGAGTCGTCAAGTGCTCGCTGTTGCGTAATCTCCCCGCGGTTACTCATTGTATCGATATGCACTGGACATGAACGAGGAGAAAGCTTACGCTGTGGAGGTGTCGGAGATTGACTCCTGTCAATATTCCTGTCGGGTTTGTCATAAGTCCAGTCAGGAGGTCTTCGCAAGGAGAAGGATTCCGACATTGAAGGACGTAGCATAGGTGGTTTTCTACCGCGAAGACCTGCACTTTTGCATCCATTAACAGCTGTGAGTGCGTCTAGGTTCTTCATATGACGAACTATATCACGCCAATGTGTGATGAGCATCTCCATAATTTCGCACGCAACCTTGATTTTGTCAACTGTATTGTTGAAAGTGACTCCCTCTTCTGCACTTTTGTATTTCTTTCTCTCCTTCTTAGTTTTTGGTGGACTCACGGGAGTGAGAACCAAACTACCATGGCCGTTGGCTAAGCGGATATTGTAGTTGTCCATTAGATCACCGACAAGGAGGGGACCGAAACAAACTCCTAACGGTTTGTAGCCCATAAGATCCGAAGTAGGGAGAGGCCTGCCTTTATCGTCTTCCCTTCGTGCCGTTTCGGCTGCACGACCGACCATACAGAGTAGTCCTAAGACTGCACAGATAAGTTCTCCTTCGGATATGTTGATCTTAAAGTTGAAATAGACAAAGCTATAAGTCTCGCTCGGACCTTGCTATGCTTAGTTCGTGTCAACTCCGGGATCACCCCTAAGATTTGTTTGGATGGATACTAGAGCATCGAACAGTGGAAGTGATCCCAAAATGCCACCAGGAATACCAGAGAGAAATCTCTTGAATGCAGATGCAACGTCGTGCACATCACAATCGATATGGTCTGGTAAAGTCGGACATCTTACTGTTCCTGCAATGTGTCCCTCGTCACCTTTGGAACTGTAATGTTCATAAATGAGGCCGATTGTGTGTTGGGAGCCCGGTATACGAAAGATACCTCGGGTTGTAGGAGCTGCACATCAATCAGCACTTAGAAGTTATATACTCGACTGTAATTCGAAACATACCATGCTGTATCAAGTATTGTGCTGTAGCACGGATACAAGTTGGTAAAGTCAAGCTGCTCGGAGCATATTCGGCTGGAAGGTATAATAGACTTGACCCACACAGACGAACAAGTTCAACCAAATCTCTATCTTTCAGTGAGTCTCGTCTGCCCTTCAATCGCAAGGAGTCACTAATGCTGCGCATTCTTTTGAGATCTCGACGTTCTGCTTTCTTGGACTTGACAACGGGGGTCTGAGATGAGGATGTCCGTCTGAAGATCTTTCGGGATAGCCAGTTACCATGTTTATCGGGTCCGTCTTCGATGCACTAAATCTAGTAAGCACTTGAGGCGATGGAATGTAAGCATTAACTTAACAGGAACATCCTCGTATTCACTTGGAATAAATTTTCGTATGCCATGCTACGCAGCATTAGCTTTGTCCGCCATATCACAATGGAACTATTTGCAGACCTTATCCGCCAGTCGATTGAATTCTTCTATAAATTGTGTACGATCATCCGAGTCATCATTTTCAGACTCACCACCGCCACTTGAAGAAGTCCAGGTATTGCTACTGCAAAGACCACGTCGAGTTCTAGGCTGTTGCACGATATTGGAAGACTCGCCGGCGTGGGAAGGAGCATCTCCATATAAGCCTAAGGAAATATTGGGATCTGATGGAAATGCTCTGATGGACGCTCGTCTGATAGGAATCACTTGGCCTCGTAGCAAATTTTGTGCAATACTTGCATCATCTATGAATAGAGGTGCTTCTTGCTGTTGTCGCCTGAGGGATAAAGTAGCTGATGATGCCCTTGAATTAAGACGATAACTGTTAGCTGGCATTTTGATTGCTGGATGATCTCCAGCAACCTTTAATTGTTGCTTGTCATTTGTAAATATTTTTTGGGATGTATTCTTTAGTGTCAACAGAAATGGCAGATTGGCTCTCTAGGAAGATGGTTCCTGCCTTTTTCAAGACCAAGAGAAAGACTAAAAGCATTTTCTATGAGCTCCTAATGACAAAAGAAGAAACCGCGACTTAAACTTATCCATTCTCAATAATGAACCAATATTAAGTCCAAAATGATATCTTCATTCCGGAATGATAGATCCACTTGGAATCAGCTGAAGAATGCACAGTAGCCCGTCGAAGCATTTTAAAGGGGGTAAAATCTCTGAATTGCAAGTCCTATGCTGCCCATAATCCATAAAATATTCACAAGCCAATCCGCCATATTATCCTTAGTCCGAGCCGATAAAATGGTATTAACGAATATGAATAAATCGCCCAATCACATCTATTTGTGGCCATTTTAATGACCCGTGAGATCAGGTTTGTGCCTGTACGCCAAATCGCTATGCAACGCCTATCCATCCTCGTAGTATCATGGCCAATATCGGACAGGCTCAATCATCGTCTTCTCCATGTAGGAGTACATACTGCAAAATATCCGACAAAGAGATCACTCCCTTCAAATGCTGCTCTTCATCTATAACCACCAATCGATGCACTCTAGATTTTCGAATCGTGTCAAAGATCGAATCCAACCTGTCTTCTTCACTGCAAGTATAAATCCCGGCAAAGTCTTCTGCCCTATTGGCCAAAGCTTCTCCCACAGTCAAAGTCAGACCATCGTATACACCACCCTTAATAATCGTGATTACATCGACAGCCTCGAAAAGATTAAGTACTCGCGAATCTTTGTCAACAATGGGAACGCTCGAAATGCTGTGTTTGACCATCATATGTATGACGTCGATCACCGGAGTGTCCATATTTGCGGTTTGTAGGTCCCCATAAGTTCCAAGTTTGATGTCCGATACACTTTTCTTCAAGAATTCCGTCTCTTCGACATTGACACTAATAAACTTCAGGATACGATATTGTGTAATCACACTGACCACCATCTCTTTTCCCGTCTCGTCATCAACATCAACCAGCGGGATACGGCGGGCCCGGGTTTGCAACATCTCGCGACAAGCATCGTAAAGAGGTCGCGCAGGATGTACCGATACCGTCTCCAAAGGTAGTACGCCAATTGCCTTTTCGATATCTGTGATGAAGTCAGCCTGTTGCCCAATCGATCGAAAATGTTGGACTCTACCTCTTAAGCTACTCAATTTGAATTGATCTATTTGATTGAGGGCTTCTGGATTCTGCCAGTAATATTGGATAACATTTATATAGTCCGAAGTCGTAAGAAGTCCAGCAAAGGTTGAGGTATGGGAATCCCATAGCGGGGCTGAAACGATACCTATAAGGTTCAAAGATCAGCAGTGAGGTATAATCCGGTAGGGTCGGGGCTGTTGTGTACCATTTTGTAGAAGGATGGTCAAGCTCTTCTTGACCAGTAAATCGGTATTAAGAATGATGAGTCGAAACGAAAGAGGTAGAACATCGTAGCTGGTACGGCGCTTGAGGAAATCTCGAATTGATTTCTGTTGAATCAGGCATGTCAGCTCCGCGTAGTACTCGAAGTACAAAACCCCCACGACTATCCCATAAATGATTTTATATGACTATCCTGATAGAACAAGCGATAGGTGAAATTATCTTACCAGACCCTTCTGCTGGTCCCTGTCGAGCGCACTCATCGGCTTTTCCTCCGGCTGTTCCTCCGGCTTTTCCTCCTGCGGCAGCTCCTGCAGCCTTTCTTGATGCATCTCGGCGACCTTCCCTCTTGGAAGAAGGAATGTTGAAGGTTGAGCTATGCGCGACTCGTGATCATGTCTAGCGATAACCGGTGGTTGGAATGTAAAGGAATCTGCGGGATTGGGCGCCGCTGGCCGTATCTCTTCTGCCATATCAGACATGGATTATGCTTGGGACAATTCGTGGGGAGCACATCGATATTGGGGGGGGGAACAGAAGTAGAGGTGGTTGAAACTTCAATAAGAAATAAATTGAAGTATAGTCATAAAGAGAGTCGTCGGTTGTACTGCAAGGAGAGAGATAGTATCGAATCGCGAAGCTTGAAATGGTAGTAATCTGATTAGGTTGAACTTTGAAAGCTAGAACAAAAGTCACGAAGAAGGTGGGGCAAGGATTTTCATGTGGGTGTAGGTAATAATAAAGAAATAAAGTTGTATTTCGTGAATTGTCTTCTGGGGAATTTCTCTGATCAGCCAAAAATCGAGCCTCTTCTGGATTCTGCATTATGGTGTCACTTTATTTACCGTAGTATTGTCATGTACGGAGTCATAAGTACAGTACTCGAGTAAGATCTTTCATGACTGAGGAGGCACCTGCGTAGATAGACATCTTACTAATTTATTAGCAGTTCAAGTACCGGTACCTCAATTTATTCCACCTTTATCCATTATTACCTACCTCTACCCTTTACCTACTATATACCTAGCTAGTAGCCTACCTAGTAATTAAGCTCACCTTCTAATAAGATCTTCATGTTCGAGCTTGAGGGGAATCCCTGAGCGGTTCGTCATTTTTTGACATCGAGGCTCTCGGTACTGTACTGCTAAATATATACAGATATCCAGCGTCCAGTTCCTTTGAAGCAGTCTCATATAACAGAGGCATCAACGATGGCAAGTGTGTGTGTCGAAGGTGACAGGAAGAGTTGGATAAATCTACTTGGGTGAGAAGACTACAATCGTCCGATCTGTCTTGGATCACTCGATACATCTACTTTAAATATAGACACCATTGTTGGCGTCATCCAGTCAGGTTATCTTTTTGGGAATTCCCGTTACTGTCTCGGTTCTCTTCCCCGGATTAGTTCTTTGAGTATCCACTCACTATACCCATTTTGAAGTGCAAGGACATTTTCTCACCATGCCAGCTCATACCATCCACCTATGGAAGTGATCAAAAATCTCTTCGCAAAAAAGAAAAAGGTCATTTCGATATCATTTTTACCCAAACATGACTCTGAATTGGTTCGATTCTCCCGACTGGATCATCCAAAGATGGGAGGGACTTCTCCATGTCTTATCTAAACTTCGGTGGGACGACTTATTCGTAATAGTAAGAGTAAATCAACAAATTCCGGCATTCGATTGAAGAGAATCAAAGTAAACTCAGAACAACCTTCTAGAAATCCGCTTTCAGATTCCCCTCTTAGGATGAAGAGACTACCTACCTTGAGTAACGTAGGCGTTCATTCATCTTAACCGTCTAGTATAACCAATGCTCCTTGAGGCTCTTTCCCCCGTACTTGGACCTACATGCATGAACTCGAATTCGACAGTCGCTGTGGCTAACATACCTGCATCTTCCTCGGAAAATATTTCGAATCGTGGCTATCACCAAATCTCTTCATGACAGGATAATCAGAAGTGGAAGATATGACGGCAACGTTAATGCCTGAAGCCCCTCCATATGGAGTTCAATCCACATCATTTGATCTTCAAGAATCAATGCCATCATTAGGAAAACACGTCGATATAAAACAGTTGGTTGTTACTGTGTAGGTATCACCATACCCGGCTTCGAGAATAATCCTTGTCTTATCCATTGGCTGTTCTGGTGAGGCTTGAAGTGGGTGTATGCGTTTGCATCTGCATCCTTTTTATTGGGGCAAAATATCGGTGTAAATGGATAGTGTACCATACTCCGTACATAAATTGGTGGATGTGGTGGATACATGATAGATGATAGATGAATCAATGTGAAAAGCTTTTTACATACGGAGTACCTGAGTACGAGTGAAGGATCGTTTGTCGAAGGATCGTAATCATTGTGGTTGGTAGTATAAGGTTTTCCATACTGAGCATTAATGTGTCGGGACTTGAATGTTATGTTGTGTGTTTGTGTATGAAGTTGTTGATGTTCTTTTTATTTTTGAGATGGCCTTTTGAAGGACGGACTACCCAAGTTCAGGGAAGCAGCACGTAGAACTAACTGACTAGGAATGTAAATAAATATCGAGTTTGAATTTTCGAGGATGGGGAGAGCGGAGAGCGCGATAATGGTAATATGAAAATATGAAAATCATCAGATAAGGAGAGAAAGTGGTTCAACAGTTATGTTAAGTTTATCTTGTCTTATAAAAATCTAAGACACTTGGCCGACTTTTTGAACTTTTAGGAGTCATTCTAAAGGGAAGAGATTTTTTGATTTTTTGATACTTCCTAATCTACGACTTCTATCTATCATTCTATGCTATCTATTGGTTATCTTTAGCCACGATTAGCCGCGAGGCTCCAGTTAGTTTTCGTTTGTTGGAAGAGGAGGCTGGAGATTTGCAGGGGATCGACATGAAATCCGTAGTTGTAGCGAATAACCCTAACATCTCTGACTGAGATACTAAGCAAAATACAGTTGGGTTATGGGAAGAAAAGTGTGAGGAGGTTGTTGATGGCTTGTTGAAACATTGTTGACTTGCTCATGAGACCTTTCTTTCATAAAGCATAAAACATGGATAACTTTAAATAGGCAGATGTATTAAAAATCAACACCCGAAACACTTTATTATAAAGAATGTTATCGAAATAAAAACAAACAGTTATTGTATAAATAGTCTATGTACTATTTAGTATATTAGTAATTAATATAATCATCTGATATTTTAACAATTTAACAATTTAACCATCAATAAGAATAAAAACTACATGTGATGAATTTATGACAACTCCAAGTCTCCAACTTTAACTCGATCTTTCTATTTTAGCTATAGTATAAAATAGACCCGTGGTCTGTGCGTTGCCTTCCATGGCGTTGTAGCGTGTACAAGCCGGCGGTGGTGTACAATTAAGTAAGTGAAAGACCGAAAGCTGCTTGGGAACCAAAAAAGCTTCCACCCAACTCAATCCTCGAACCTTCTTTATCAAGATTTAATCCACTCAATAATTTACATCGCTACTCCCCTTCGAATGGTCATAGAACCTTCCTATAATATAAAACGAAACGGAATTTGATGCCATTTCCCCTTCCTATAGCTTCGCTTTGTCCGACTACTCGCCCTCATTCCAACAACAAAAACATCTGAATCCCGACCCTACAATTTACCACCATCACTAGTCCTACGGGACTAAACATCGAGAAATGGGTGGTGTCTGCTCTTCTTGCTGCGGAGGTATGCATCGTGAGATCATATCTTTGGAATCATCTACTTATCTACCGACTGTGCAGGTAAATCCCGAGATGGCTTATATGAGCCGGTGCTTGCAGAAAGCGAAAGAGAAGCGGTGGCAGACCTTCTACAATACCTCGAGAACGTAAGGAATGAATATGCTGATGATATGTTTGATGTCTAACGATACTGTCAGCGCGGCGAGACCGACTTTTTCTCCGGCGAACCTCTACGAGCTTTAAGTACCTTGGTATTTTCTGATAATGTCGATCTTCAGCGAAGTGCTAGTTTAACATTTGCTGAGATAACCGAACGAGGTACGTCGCTTTTTACACCTAGATGGATGTAAATACGCAATGTCCGACTCGAGCAGGGAGTGCATGGCTCGTATCGATGATGGACCGCCTCGCATACAAGTTCCCCGATGGCAGAGTTCAGGGCGGAGAGGATTAGAATATTTTTCATTGCAGGAGTGTAAATACTGACTCCTTTCAGATGTCCGTGAAGTAGATAGAGATACCCTCGAGCCGATACTCTTCCTCCTGCAAAGTCCAGATATGGAGGTGCAGCGAGCGGCTAGCGCAGCTCTTGGGAATCTCGCAGTTAACAGTGAGTTATACTTTCCCCTCCTCCACGGACTAAGCTGACACACGACGCAGCGGAAAACAAAGTAGCAATCGTACTTCTTGGGGGCCTTACACCCCTCATCCGACAGATGATGTCCCCAAATGTCGAGGTGCAATGTAACGCTGTTGGTTGCATTACCAACTTAGCAACACACGAGGATAATAAGGCCAAGATCGCACGATCAGGGGCATTGGGGCCCCTCACTCGTCTAGCAAAATCTAAAGACATGCGTGTGCAGAGAAATGCAACCGGTGCTTTGTTGAACATGACCCATTCCGGTAAGGAACAACCTTGTTGAGATAATATTTCCCAGGCACTGACAATATTTAGATGAGAATCGCCAGCAGCTGGTTAATGCTGGTGCCATACCCGTTCTAGTACAGCTCCTCTCATCTTCAGACGTAGATGTACAGTACTACTGCACAACAGCTTTGAGTAATATCGCCGTTGATGCTAATAACCGCAAAAAACTCGCCCTGAACGAGAATAGACTCATACAGTCTCTTGTGAACCTCATGGATTCGTCATCACCTAAAGTTCAATGTCAAGCAGCTCTAGCTCTACGAAATTTGGCTTCCGATGAGAAGTACCAACTGGAAATTGTGCGCGCTCGCGGTTTAGCTCCATTGTTACGACTTTTACAATCCTCATATCTACCATTAATACTTTCAGCTGTCGCTTGCATACGCAACATATCGATACATCCATTAAACGAATCCCCAATTATTGATGCTGGCTTCCTTAAACCATTGGTCGATTTACTAGGTTCCACCGATAATGAAGAAATTCAGTGCCACGCCATTTCGACACTTCGTAACCTTGCTGCTAGCTCTGATCGAAACAAGGAGCTTGTTTTACAAGCCGGAGCTGTTCAAAAATGCAAACAACTTGTTCTGGATGTGGCCCTTAGTGTTCAGTCCGAAATGACTGCCGCAATCGCTGTATTGGCATTAAGTGACGATCTCAAGACCCAACTTCTCAACCTAGGGGTGTTCGATGTCCTTATTCCATTAACAGATTCCGCGAGTATCGAAGTTCAAGGTAACAGTGCTGCGGCGCTTGGTAACTTGTCTTCCAAAGGTAAGTTTTAATAATGGGTTCATGCTTTAAGACTTTCAATGCTAATCAATTGCAGTCGGTGATTACTCTATCTTCATTTCAGCCTGGACAGAACCACACGGAGGCATTCACGGTTATCTAAAACGATTCCTTGCTAGCGGAGATCCAACCTTCCAACACATTGCAATCTGGACATTATTACAACTATTAGAATCCGAGGATAAGAAATTGATAGCTTTGATTGGAAAATCGGAAGAGATTGTACAAATGATCAAGACTATTTCCGACAAACAAATTGAATCTGACGACGAAGGTGAAGAAGATGGCGAAGGAGAGGTTGTTCAACTTGCTCAAAGATCGTTACAACTACTCGGACAGAGTGGAAAGTCATCCCATATCGAAGGTTGAGCCATTACACGAGAAAAGATTTCTTTGTTATTTGCATCTAGCTATGGGAAGGGCACGGTGTTAGGAGTATAACCAAAGGCATAATAGTTTGTAGCGAGCATTGGCAGAGCGGGGGGCGCTGCACAACTTTATTTCTGTTTTTCATGACAAACCTTCAGAGGTTCCTGTTACTACGGTATATCTTTTACGACGTCTTCCTTCAATAACTTATTACAGCTCATATGGAACTTTACTTGTTATTCATGTAATTAGATAGGACGTTATGATATCCAATTTCAATAATTGCTAGGAATATCAGGAATTCTCACATGAAATTCGTGGCTAAAGGACAACATGAAAAGTATGTTGTTAGGACTTTGCGATTTTCTGTGATTGTATTAGGGCTTCACTTGTTATAAACCATCAGAGCACTTTGAAAGAGTCATATGTACCTATTCGTGAGTAAATTGTTCGTCTCGAGACGTTTTTCCTCTGAATTGATGAGTTTCATCTGTTCATCATGTTGTAAACCAGGTATATATACTCTGAAACCAGGTTCTTTTCGGCTCTGGCTGCAATTCATTCTCAAACCATTTCCTATCGCTCCACGGCAGAACTCTAGCAACGATTTTCCCCTTAATAAGAGCCATAGGTACCGGGCCAAACAATCTCGAATCCCTCGACCATTCCAAATTATCCCCCACCAACCAACAATGACCCTGAGGAACCTAACGAAACAAATTAGCACCCTTCCCATTGCAAATCTATCTCCCCGGGCCCCCTCGCCTCAAGAACTCACCCTAATCATCTTCGTATCCCCCGTCCCCGGCGTCCCCATCATAACACAATCCCCCTCCAACCCCAGTACCCTCTTAAACGCCTTCTCCCCAGGCTCGACCACAGAGTCAAAACTCACTATATCCCCTACTTTTACGTGGCGGCCCCGTCGTCGTGATCGGTCGATTAGAAACCATTCGTTGCTTACGGAGATGGTGGGTAGCATTGAGGGGCCCGTGGCGGATTCGACTGAGTAGATGTAGGTATGGAAACAGTGATATATGAAGAGGGATTTTAGGGTCCAGCTGAGGATGCGGAGGTAGTGGGGGAGGTTGGAATGTTGGGTCCAGGAGGGTCGGTGGAGGGTGTGTTGGTTGCGGGTGAGGTGCGGAAGGGGAAGCGGGAGGGGGAAGGGGGATTTGCGGGGAAGAGGTCGGAGGAGGGGTTTGGATATCATGGCATGCTTTTGCTTTTTCTTCGCGGTTGAAAAATTTATTGTATGTGTAGTTTTGTGTGGGAGCGAAGTCCTTGGTGCTTGTTTTGTTATCCCGTGATATGTATGTATGGTGATTGATATGGGTATGTAGAAATGGAAATTTATGATTATATAAGCAACGATAATAAATTCTCTCCCCTCCTCTCCCACATTACAACATCAAAATCAAGCTCTCAAGCTGTCGCAACAACAGATAATCGCAACCACTACCAAGCATGTCAACCACACGCTGCGTATTTAACGCAGCATCTGCTCTGCGACGTGTATTTCTCGCACCCATTGACCACACATCCACACCTCTCCTCCGCCCATTGACCTTCTCCTCGCACCTCACGCGCATCCACGCAAGCCGTACACAGCAGCATCGGACCCTCCTAAAAAGCACCTCGCACATCGTACCCGAACAGCGACTTCCACGGGATGAAGAAATCAAAGACCTATACGTGCGTCTCAAAAACAGCGAACAAAGACTCGACCCCCCAAAAGCCACCTCTGAAATCCTCAAATCAATTAACCTCAAAACACACATGTTACAAATCATCGCATATAGCGATGATGGGGAACCTCCTATTGCGAAAATTATTGATAAAGGGGAAGCGGCGAGACAGAAGAGATTAGCGAAGAAGAAGAAGAATCCTGCGACGGTTACCAAGACGATTGAGATGAATTGGGCGATTGGGAAGAATGATTTAAGTCATCGGTTGCAGAGGATTAGGGAGTTTTTGGAGAAGGGGAATAAGGTTGAGGTGGTGTTGGCGGAGAAGAGGAAGGGGAGGAGAGCAAGTGGGGAGGAGGCGGGGGAGGTGATTGGGAAGGTGAGGGAGTTTGTGGAGGGGGTGGAGGGCGCGAGGGAGAGTAGGGGGATGGAGGGGACGGTGGGGACGCAGGCGGTTTTGTATTTTGAGGGGAGGGTTGTGGGGAAGAAGGGGAAGGGGGAGGAGGGGGAGGGTGAGGGTGAGAAGCAGGATGGGGAGGATGAGAAGCAGGGTGAGGAGGGGGAGGGTGAGAAAATGGAAGAAGAAGCTGAGAACATAGCAGAAGAAGAGAACTTCAAATTAGGAGCAGCCAACTAAGAGTAAATATCTACCTATTTAAACCAAAACTCATAAATACCTAAAAAATCCACAACATCAAGTCCAAAACCATGCATACTCACTCATATCTCTCTCTCTCAAAGACCTCTAAAGTCAAGACTAAACTAAACTACTAAACTAAACCAAAGCATTTCAATTATCCCAGTCACACAAAAAGAGAGATATATATTATACTATATTGGATTTCGAAAAAAAAAAAAAAGTTATTATATAGATGATGTTACGAGGTTTGCCGTCTAGATCACGTGGAAGTACTCTAGGCTCTCGAGGTGGTTTATAACTAGGCGTCAAGCAGGGACTTAAGTAATGACCATAATGATATGCAATTCGTAACTAATAGTAGAGTATACTAAATGATTGATCTTGAGCACGAAGCTCTATACAAAGGAAATCCATCTTGATTATATAGACCTTCGTGTTCTGGCTCTATGTCACGATTCACCATTAGGATTGATGGTGTTACGATGGTAGCAAACTGATTAATTAGGAGAGCTTAGGCCTTGTGCAAAAGCAATCAGATTTCATCGAATTAGTATGTGATCTTGGTCACCTTAAGATCGTATGCGCACGCACCATCAGAAATCACGTGATAAGGAGCCCTCAAAGCTCCTGGGGGCTCCCTTCTTCGATCATTATATAGTCAGAGTAGTTTCATAGTTTAGGAGCTTCGTGCTCAACTTAGTTATCAATTAGTTTACCTACATTCTACTTGATCTAGTAACGAATTCACTTTCAAGTGAATACCAGTGATAAAGCCTTAACCCATAACTACCAACCGACGAACCTTAGGCAGCCGCTGCCTCCAGTACAGTATCGTTACACTCTAGTGGCTCTAACTAGATTGATTAGAGCCGGTCACATGATAGCTCTGATCCTATGATTAGTCATGTGATACGGAAATATGTTACCGTCGTAACACGTAACAGATGAATAGATTAAATAAATAAATAAATAAATACTAAAGAGAAATATCAACTCTCTCCCTCCCTCTCCCCCTCTTTTATAAAACTATATAAATATTCTCATAAATAGAATATAGATAGATATTTAGCTACCATTACTCAGTTATACATAGAGCAAATCATGAATTATGAATTATGGAATGCAGGTAGATAGATAGATAGGTAGATGTATATGTATGTAGAAAGAATTTTTTATTCTCATGCTATTTTCTCTTCTAATCTCATCTTCTACAATCCTATGCAAAGCTATACTATGCTATAATATGCAATGCAACGCTATACCCTCAGAGCTTTGGTGAAAAGGAAAGTGGTAAAGCTAAATGAAGACTCATGAAGCGTTTCATTTTCTTCATCCACTCCATTCCACCACACTTCGGCCAAGTCCATTCCCTTCCCTTCCACTCCATGTCTGTGCAATTGCGATTGCGATTCCATCCACAGAATACCTTCTTTTCCCACAATCCCATCCATAACCCATGGAACCCAAAGGACATATAAGAATCAACCATAACCATAACCAGTAACTCCAAACCCTACCCTACCCTATCCTACCCATATCCATCCTCATTCCCAACCAAGATAGAGTTCAACCCAACTCCATCCATCACATCACCATCCTAAACCCCATAAAAAGAAATATCAATGCAATCTAAACCCAACGCAAAAGGATGCAAAAAAAAACAAAAAAAAACAAAAACAAAAGCTAATATACCAGCACTTGGTATTTAGGCCATGTGAAAGAAGAAAAAAATGAGTAGCGTGCATAAGTCAAATCTTATTGAATGACCATACATGGATATCCGATAAAAAGTCCTTTGGATATCCGGTTAACAAAAGGAAAAAGGAGCCGTGAATAATTCGTGATGCATGTCGAGAAAGGTTATGTTATGCGAGCTGACGTGTAAAGTTGTATTTTGTGGGGGAAGTTCATCAAAAAATATTGATTGATGTTTTGCATGAGGTGTGGGTGATTTTGTGGAGTATCTCGATGTAATCGCCGAAGGTGAAATATCCGATGCATGAGATCGTGAATCGTAATCGAAAAAATTTGAGTTTGATCGATGCTTCTCTTTTCGAAGATGCAAATCTCCCGGAAGAAATTTTGTGTTTGTGGTTAAAATTTTCAAACTTCGAAACTCCTTTAGACTCGAGCTACTGGTGAACTTTGGCCTTCTCGTCTTCTTCTCTCTTCCTCAACTCTAATCATTCTTGCAACAGCTTCATTTTCTCTCAATCCACCTTCGGATAATCCACCAGATCTAATTTGACCTGCAATTAGATATCCAGAACCTTCTTCCAATTCAAATGGCGTAATGGGACCGGGACTACCCAAAGGAAGTAATCTAGGACTGATAGGTTTAGAACCTGGTGCGGATGGTACACCAGGAGATGAAGTTACTGAAGCATGTACCATACGTGCTTGTTCAATCATATCCCTTTGGTATTTTTGTAGCTTTCGTTTAATGTCCGAAGATCGTCTTTGATGATTTGGATTCGTAGATTTTTGACGTTGATTCTTAGGAGGAAGTTGAAGATCGCCACCATATAATATCGGTGAAGCGACATTTGGGGCGGGAGATGTGGGTGCCGGCTTATAGTTTGAAGGGTAGTATTTTCCTTTGGGCATTACCAAAGTTTCTGGCAAGGTAAATGGAGAGCTGATGATTGAAGGAGGACCACGAACGGTAGCACCGGAAGATGGTGAATCCATTGGTGACAACACGGAAGACATTGCAAGTGGTTTTACCTCTGGTGAGGCTCTTGAACGTGAAGTTGATAATAGAACTGCTGATTTGAGGGTTTCTGGGGTTTCGTCTGCAAAGCCGGGAAAGTATCCTCTATAAATCTTTCGTCAGAACAATGGCATAAAAAGTTTTCCGGCATAGTCCTTGCTCCTCGATAACCTCCCAACAAAACAAAACAAATTATGCTTATGCTTGCTTACCCTGGTAATTCTCCACGACCTGTCAATGGTGTATACACTCGTTTTCTTGTTGTGGATTGTTCAATGGTAATAGGAATTGAATCGCTTTTCTTTGGCGTATTGAATGTAGATATTGTATCAACTGAATAGATTTCAAATCACGAGTCAGCCTTGGAATATTTGTACTAATTCGTGGGTGGCGGCGGGGTAGAAAGCGGAAAAGGCTTGAGCTTGCATCAAAAGGGTAGAAGCGTAACATACCATGTGCTCCGAGAGTACCATAACGTGGAGATGAATTTGTACTACCGGGACTATTGCTAGTACTAATAATCTCTTTAGTTCTTGACTGTAAGGCAAGACCCTTTAAAGATGCAATAATTTCTTCATCTGAAGAAGACGAGTAGGACGGTTTTGCGTGAGGACGGTCGGAAGTAGTAAAGTTATCACCTCTGCTACCATCCGTAGTATAGTAAGGAGTGTTCTTATATGGATGATAACTGGCCATTTTGAAAGAGGAGAAGCAGATGGTTGGCGGGTAATTCTTGGGTACATTCATTCATATGAATTGATATTTATTTGCACCTTTGGGACCTTGGAGACCTTTGGGATTTCCTGGGGCAATGCACTCGTCTATCCTTTCTTGGCTTTTGCGGAGGAAGCTCTCGTTCGGTTCACTGGTCGTCTGTTTATGTATCTGTAGAAAAGCTGAAGGCTTGAATCGTAAAATGGTGAAGGGTGAAACGTGAATCGTGAATCGTGATCCGTGGAATGGAGATTGCAAATGGTCTTGCGCAAGGTAATCTAATCACACTGGGGAAAGCAAAACAAGCCGAATGAACGGTGATTGGTGGAACCGATGAAACGTCAAGTCAAGTGATATTGGCTGGTATATTGCTTGAGGACGAAATTGGTTTGGTGAGTTGAAGGCTGTTCCACTTTCTTGCTTTGGTATGGTGTTGGCATTTGACTTTGCTTTCCTAGGATTTGGGGGATTCGCTCTCGGATTGGCGTAGCGTGAAGCTCGTATGTCGCTGCGTGATATGTATGGAGTATGTAGGTAGGGTTTGACTTTCTCTGCCTTGTCTCTTGTATTTGATTTTGCGTTAGGAAGCCAAGTACCTAAGAGATAAGTACGGAGGATAGTGTGTGTTGCACTGATGGCTTATAAACGTGGGGAATAGATCGTCGGAGATGATAAAGCATTCGTCGTCTATGCTTACTCTTTGTCAAGTGTATGAAGGAAGTAACGGCAAGCAAGCCAAGAAAATTCGGATGTTTGGTGCCGATTATGAAGTCTCGGGGTTTATTTTTCTTTTATATTTTATTCGACGGGATTGATGAATGGTCGATGGCTCTTGGTGTTTTTTCTCTGGCCCTTTGTGATAGGGAGGGAGAAGTATGTATGATATGATGAATGAGGAACAGATATGGTATATATTGCTACCTATCTTGTAATCTTATAAGTACAAAGCGCGAGGTAGATGTATATAAGAGTATGATTTTAGAGACGAAAAGTAGTCATGCAACTACTTGCTTGGTTGTTAGGTTTATTTGTTTTACTTTTGTTGTCAAGTGAAATTTCTTCTCGAATTCTCCAGGCAAGCTTAAGTGAAATGAGTCAAAGAAATATGGGCAAAGAAAAAAGTCGTATCATCCATCTCATCCCTCATCCATCCATCCATCCCCCATATCATCCAAGCCTTTTTGCTTTTGGTGGTTTCTGTGTGAATCTCCGCAAGATCTGCAGAAAGGGTCAAGGGTGAAAATAAAATAAAGGAAAGGAAGGGAATTAATTAGTTAATCAACGGTTTAACAACTTTTCGCTTTTGTTTTGTTTTGTTGTTTATGGGTCGGGTATGGGTCATTGTGGGTCAGCATGGGTCAAACCTTTTGGTGATGTCAGTGCACATGAAAATGATAATTTTATTCCCGGAAAATTGATGCCTTTGATAAAATGGATAGAAAGTGATCACACAATTGTTGATTGGAGCCCTTTAAAGTCACAGAGGTCTTTCTTCAATAAATAACGTGCCTTGGATACATGCTTTCCGAAACTTTTGACTGATGGAAAATACATAGACTACCTGGTATTAATTTCGTATTTTCGTATTCTAAGATCATACCTACATATCATTCATACATAAATACCACACATACACACATCTTCAAAGTACAAAAATATCTTCCCAACTCAATCTACCTCCCGTGTCTACCTACTCATAACTAATTCTCATTCAATGTGTCTCCTGCTTTTGACAGCTTACGCTAAAACTCTTAAACTAGCCTCCGGAATTCCCGCTTCTTCGTTGGGATCATTGTATGATTGATCTTCTACCTTGAACACCATGTATGGAAGGAAGTACCAAGAACACTTGGTATCGGGGCTGTACGAAGCTTTGATGGGAAGCTATGGTACGGACTAGGTACCTAGTAAACCTGGTAAACGCTTCCTCAATGTTTGGGTCGATGGGAAATTCCTTTCGTTTCTCGAAACATAACACGGCCTTGTTGTCATTTTCTTTTTCTTAAATACCAACAAAAGGTCAACCTCTTCAGGTCACTGATGATTGAGGAAGGTGCCAGGTCTTACCGGGGTTTTATTTTCCTCTTAATTCTTCACCCTTCACCCTTCACCCTTCACCCTTCACCCTTCACCCTTCACCCTTCACCCTCATCTTTTCTCCTTCCCAATCCTCTTTCGTATATATACCGACTTTCTATATACCGACTTTTCTCTTTAATTTATGGGTCGGTCTACTAGCCAAGTTACATTTTGTACATTTTGTACATATAATGGCGGTAATGTATCATGCAGAGTCCCTACTTTCTGCGACATAGCACGATGCCCAACATCTTCCAGCAACTTCATAGGTGTTTGGTTGTAGCTTGTAAGTATGTACTGTACGTATGCTTCTAAAACCTGAAAAGATCCACAGCTACTTCTTATCAACGTCGATTATTTCCACATTCAGCTTTACCAACACCAATGCTGCAACCACCACGTCGTTATTTCCATTATGGGACCTTCATGGCGTTCAATATTATGACTTCTCATATTCACTTCAGATGTTAGTAATTATTTAAAGATAATGAAATTCTTATCACCGCCATGGATAATCGGTTGATCTACCGCTTTTTGGATATTGGTTGGGCGACCTTGTTTCACTGCAAATTTCGTAAATCCTCACCATAGATTCTTACCCGGAGATGCTTTTTCTTTTGCGGAAAGGCTGAAGAAGATCTTTTGTGATTTCTTGCAGTAACCTGCAGCCTCGCCAAGTTATAACGTTGAGGGGTTTTAAACCTTTCAAAGGGTCGTATCTTTTTTATGTCGTGATCCGACTCGTTGACTCGTGCTACACAGATGTATGCAAGGCGTATGGTGGTGCTCTCACGTCATTCCCAAAAGTTTTGATACTGACACAACATATTTGTGGTGGAGCGTGAACCATCAACTTATGGCGTTACGTTTCATCACTCGTCAACCTCGCATGATTCATGAAAGTAGTTTTCATGTTCATTCGAGGAGTTGGAGTATTACGATACCTATTTGAATAGTTACATGGGAAGATGCTATTCATGTGCCAAGTTTGATTATCGGAATTCATACCTATTTATTGAGGATCATCAACCTGGGAAAGATACGTGCAGTGTTGCACTAAGTGTTGATTAAACGGCGAGTGCCGAGATGGACCTGAGTTTCATGAGATTATCTCTATTCAAACTTTCTACCTACTTGCCACAGAGTCAACAGTTTTCCGTATGGCCGATAATCTCATATTCTGCACAATCACAAAATCTAGGATATCATGTTTGTGGTGGTTTAGCTTCCTCGATAGTTGTCAACATCATCATCAAGTCAAAGCGCCACTTTTGACTGGCAGTAAAAGTCAAATATATGACTACCATTGGAAATGGTGAAGCCAGAGAAACACTCCAGACTCTTAAGTCTCGTTTCAAAGAAGTATAGCTATTTGCCGCGGTAGCAAATGATATTTTCATTTCATCATTTGTACCATAAAATACTTTTATACTTCATTTTTCAGTTATTGATTCGTTCCTATGGAGCAGAATAATAATGTGAATTTCATATGGTGGAAACATGTCGATGGAAGATTCAGGCTATGTTTATATTACTAATTTGTCTAGAGAAATTGTACTAATCATTGTATCACCAAGAACAGCCCTTAAGCCACGCAAAAGAAAACCCGACATGCACGAAAGAGAGCCAGATAAATACTCACTTCATACAGACGTTAAATCTACACGGCAGATATACTGTGAAAGCAGAACCCAAATTCGAGCCCTAAACGCTCATACAATAGATTTCATATTCAGACAATCTTCATCAAACTCACAAAGGCGTCGTGACGGAGTGGTTAACGTGATTGACTAGAAATCAATTCCTTTCGGGGGCGCATGTTCGAATCATGCCGACGTCGATATCTTTTTGATTTCTTGCCCTTTTTTAAAGTTTTTACTGATTTGATTTGATTTGTATTATTGTCATCTCAAAAAACTCAGAGCATAGGATAGAAAATTTGGAATTGTAACAGGGTGGAGAAATTTTCAGTGTTTGGATGGATAGATGGATACAAGTATGGATACTTTGATATTTTTCAAAGCGGAGATGTGAGGATGCGAGGATGTGGTTATGCGGTTATGTGGTTATGGGGCCGGGAGTTGTAGAATAATATAAATTTTAGTGTGGTAGGGCCGGGGGTTTATGTTTAATTTGCCGATGTGAAGGGTTTGGAGTGGAGTGGGGTGGGCGGACTGGAAGAGAGAGAGAGAGGTCTGATTAATAATTTAATACTCCGTGTATCTCTATTATATGAGTACCTAGGTAGAATTTATACTCCGTATTTATTTATTTATTTTATTTGTTCTTCGAATTCGAATTCGAATGATCATGGCATGAGTATGTACCTCATATATTGTCTTTTATACCTAAGTATCTAAGTGTCTAAGCCTAACCACCTTCATGATCAGAAATCCACACTGCTGCCCTCTTCTATTTCATGGCGGAATATACCTAGTATACTTTTTATAGGGCAGAGCGTGATGGATGGATGAATCATAGGGTGGTAGATAGGATCATTGGATATAGTCATTTACTTATTTACTCATCTGTCTGTCTGTCTAGTAGGTATTTATAAAGAGAGTAGTTGGTAACTATTTGTTAGAGTATCATGATAAAGTATTAGATATATGAGATGGGATGAGTTACGTTATTAGTTAATTAGGTGTTTATTTGATTATTTATTGTTATTGATTTGATGATTTGATGAGATATATTTTTAAATGAAAGTGTCACGAATCACGGTTATTATAATACAATAAAAGCAAGTACGGCGGTTTTGGCCGCTGTTTCCGAAGGGGTCCTTATCGATAAGGAATCCTAGGACAAGTGTCCTAGGATAAAACTTGTCCCAGGATAATTAGTATCCTAGGACAAAACGATTAGGCAACCATATAGGTTTAGGACAAGTGTCCTAGGACGTTATTCGTCCTGGGATAGAATGTCCTAGGACAGTATTTGTCCCAGGACAATTATCCTAGGAGTTATATTATCCCAGGAGACGAATTATCCCAGGATTAGTGTCCTGAGGCCAATAGGAAATCACGTGACATGCTAGCTATGCTAGCCAGCTAGCATAGCTAGCACTGGAGGAAACAATGAGTATATAGTTAGGATAGTTTCATAGTTTAGGAGCTTCGTGCTCAACTTAGTTATCAATTAGTTTACCTATATTCTACTTGATCTAGTAACGACTTCACTTCCAAGTGAAGACCAGTGATAAAGCCTTAACCCACAACTACCAACCGGACGAAACCTTAGGCAGCCGCTGCCTCCAGTACAGTATCGTTACAGAAAGTGAGTGAAATTAATAAATAAAAAAATATTAAAATAATTAATAATTTCAAAATGAAAATGAAATAATTAAAATAACCAATAGTTTTTATTATTGAAAGGATAGAGTTTAAATAGATATAAAAATATAAAGATATAAAGTATACTGATGTTACGATAGTAACAATTGACTAATTAGGAGAGCTTGGGCCTTGTGCAAAAGCGATCAGATTTCATCGAATTAATATGTGATCTGGGCCACCTTAAGATCGTATGTGCACGCACTGTCAGAAAGCACGTGACTTGGAGCTTTTGGAGCTTGAGGATCCAAAAGGATCCAAGGGAGCATGAATATCTATATAACCAAGATGGATTCCCTTTGTATAGAGCTTCGTGCTCAAGATCAATCATTTAGTATATCCTACTATTAGTTACGAATTGCATATCATTATTGTCATTACTTAAGTCCTGCTTGACGCCTAGTTATAAACCACCTCGAGAGCCTAGAGCACTTCCACGTGATCTAGACGGCAAACCTCGTAACAACTGAAATGAAATTACTAAATGAATAAGTCAGGATTTATTGATTACTTAGGTACTTAATCACTAATAATTATTTATTGATTGGTTTATTACTCTATTACATCATCGTTTCTATTTCGAATTTACATGCTGTGTGGGTGGTCGGCTGTATGTATGTATATACAAAGTAGTCGCGCGCGTGGGTTTTATTTGTTGGGGTTCGAGGTTTGAGCGGTTGGGTTTGGGGTTGGGTTTGGGGTTACTAGTTGGTTGGTTGAGCGGTTGCTTTGTATGAGTACGACAGGGCTGGACAGGACGGGTGGGTGTTTGAATGCGAGTTTTTGGTTGTAATGTGATCGGTAGGTGAATAATGTTGGAAGTTGAAAGTTGGAAGTTGGATGGTAAGGGAAGACATCGCGCTTCCTTGGTTTTCCTTTTTTCTTTTTTTGGTATTTTTGGGGGTTGGGGGGTTTTGATTCTTTTGCAGGAGAGGAAAGGATTGGATTGAATTGATTGAATTGCTTTTTTGTACTTAGGGTATGGGTGTAGGTATGCGGTTTGGGGTTTATATTTTATATTCGTTGAGAACATTGCAAGTTATTGGGTAGGGACGATACGACGGTTAAATCAACGAGGCACGAGATTCGAGGATTCGGATTTATAGGTTGAAGGAGAGGATACGAAAGTAAAGGAAAGAAAAGAAAAGAAAAGGATACGAATACCTACATAAGCTATTTATGAGATAAGTTTGTGAATAGCTTCGACTGTCGCGATACAGATATTTGTTTAGCAGGACCAGGTCCATATCATATTCTCTAATCATACATTTATTTACTTTTTTTCGAAATCACAATCACAATCATAATCGAGATCGATACGAAATAACTTATTCCTTTCGTCAAACTATCTTCCTCTTCGCCCAAATCAAAAATACAATACACCCACGCGCGAATAAACACAAATCACTCTCGGTTCAAAATGTCAATCCTCGATCGTATAAATCCACTCGGATATGGAGTTGGACGAACCACGCATGCGATATGGAGATTTTTTCAATTCGTCATGGCTCTGACTGTTATTGGATTATATGGAACTGATCTAGCCAAAGCGAATAGAGAACATAAATATTCAGATGGAAAATGGGTATGTTTTATTTACCTCTCCCTCTCACCCTCCCTTCCTCCCATCCCAACCTCAACCCCTCAACTCCCATCAAACTAACACACATCGCCAGGTCTACGCAGTAATAACCGCCTCTCTCTCCGCAGCAACTTCTCTCCTCCATCTAATTCCCCTCTTTAACCTCATCCCCGTCCTCTTTCTCTGGGATGCTACCCTATTTATTCTTTGGATTGCCCTCTTTGGTCTCTTTGGAAATATGTATATACATGAGAGAGCAGAAGGAGATGCGGGGGTGCAGAGGATGAAAAATGCTGTTTGGGTGGATTTGGTTAATGCGATTTTGTGGGCGGTGAGTACGGCGGGTATGGTGCTTTTTTGGAGTAGGGAGAAGAGGACTAGGTGGACGGGGAGGGCGAGTGGGAGGGCGGGTAGTCCGGGAGTTTAGGTGGTGATGGCGTGGGATGACGTGGGATTGGGATGAGGGAGGGAGGATTAAGGTTGAGGGGGATGTGTGGGTGAAAGGGGTGAGGGTTTGGGGTTATTGATTGAAGTATGCATGCTACCGTGTAGCGTCTTATCGGTCGATATCGGTAGGTGCCATCTCCATCATCCATCAACAGTGTTTATGGCCCAACATCAGCTTCGACAATCGCGACATCTTTACCAAAAATTGAACACAACCCCACAAACAAATCACACCATCCATATAAGGACCATCTCAAATTCGAGCGTCAGTGTTCATTGCGAGGCAAGAAGGGCGGGCAAGAAGGATAGGGCAGGATATAAGATTTTTGATGAAGCAACGACGAATAATGATATCATCGTGGAGGTTCGTACCCTAATAAGAAAGTTAGTTTCGTTTGTTTTCTATAGGGTTTGCGAAACAATCTTATCTTATCTTATCCTATTAGTTTCTTGATATGGATAGCGGAAGGCGGAGGTGAAACGGATTTGGAGTGGAAACGGGATCCAATGGAGTATAATTACTAGGGAGATACCAGATTAATTAGTTTTGGTTTTGGTTTTATAAGTTGTGGTTTTGGTTGTAGTTTTCATTTTTGTTACGGCTCTTACGATACCCTTTCTTGATTGATATAGCAATTCACTATTCACAATTCATTCATTCTTTATCAGCTCAACCCGCTCACCAGCTCTGTACCCGTACGAAAGGAAATGATAGCACATCTGCCTACCAATGTCACAAAGAAAATATCTGAATAGCCCGTTTGGCTTAGCGGTAAAGCGCATCACTAGTAATTCTTCGTGTTACTACCTATCTCCATCTGAATGGGTAGAAGCACGAATGGATGATGATGAGATCCTAGGTTCGATTCCTAGAACGGGCATGTATGAATTCTTTTGGTTGATTTTTGTTTTTTGGGGGCTTTGTTTTTTGGGTGGTGGGTGGTTGAAGGGAGAGAGAGCGGAAGGGAGAGGGGGGAGAGGGAAGAGGGAAGAGGGGAGAGGGGAAGGGAGTGGTATGGATGGGTGGATAGATGGGGAAAATGGAGGAATTGGGGAGGGGGGTGGTGTTTGGTAGAAGTTGGGGTTTGAGGCAATGGGAAGAAGGGGGAGAAAGGGAAGGGGAGTTAAAGAGATTTTGAGGTGTGTTTGTTCTAAAAGGAAATGATTGATTGATTAATTATATAGAGTACTTGATTAGATAATTATATAAAAATTTGTAAACTAGAGTATATTATTTTAGATTTTATATCTAATACCCGCGTGTTACGAGGTTTGCCGTCTAAATCACGTGGAAGTGCTCTAGGCTCTCGAGGTGGTTTATAACTAGGCGTCAAGCAGGGACTTAAGTAATGACCATAATGATATGCAATTCGTAACTAATAGTAGAGTATACTAAATGATTGATCTTGAGCACGAAGCTCTACAAATGGAAACCTATCCTTTATATAGAACTTCATACTCTACTGTATTCCTTTGGATCTCTTGGATCTACTGGATCTAGAGTTTAACTCTCTAGATCCTCTAGATCCCCTAGATCCCTCACGTGATTTTAATCAGAACATATGTCTGTGCTTGCTGAGGGTGGGGAGACTCTATGAGTCAATTGCCATACAATTTTGTATGTGAATCGACTTGCTTTTCTACAGGGTCCAAGCTCATATGGACATGTTGACTGTTACTTCGTAATAATTTACTAATAGCTTTACAACGATTCAATATAACTTAAATTTCAGTAAAATGATACTTTAATAATGAGATACTAGACTTGCTTGACGAGGTCTTTAATCGCAAATAGTTTTAAGCGAACCACTCAAATTTTAACAAGATAGACCTACCTTTAATTGAATTATAACTTTCTCAATAATGACTCAATTATTTAATTTTAACATTGTCTTAGCTGTCTTAGCTGATAATACACTAAAATACAATAATTCAAGATCTTTAAGCTTGATATTAGCTCATGAAGTATGCGTGCACTTAATTTGAGACCTCACCGGGTATCGTTTGACTAAATACATTGACATCAGTTGCCCGCGGAAATACCACAAAATATCATCTGTAGCAGTTCAGGCGTGCTCAAACCTTTAGATTAATATTCAGAAGCGGCCGAAAAGTCTAATGTTCTAATAATCTAAGTAATGCTAGTATTCACGACGTGATACTAAGACAGGTAGTAGGCTTGAAATGATGGGTGTCTTAATTGAGCTGGCGGAAAATAACCTTGAATTGAATTCAGATACAATAATCACAGTTACAAATAGGGAGTCTATAACTTCATTGAGTAGTTTCGAAGAGGTTTTTATCGACGCTCTGGGAAACAGCTTCGGCCTGAGCCTGAGCTCGTTTCTGAATTTCGACCACCATATTGTGACCCCGTTCTAAACTCGTCATGATCTTTCCGTTTTGCTCGCGATGAGGAATTAGGGGACTATTGAACACCTTCATTAAGCTATTGTTTTCTGGACGAGTAGCAATAATTGCACTCATACGATCATAGGACCACTTTCCTTAAGACCTTCCACTCTTCGACTGAAGTTGTAGAAACTCGAGTGTTCGAACCAAAATGGATCCGGACTGCATGTCATTTTATTACAAATTATGTGGCATCCAGACTCAAGAAATTGTTCATGATTTCTTTCCGATTTTCATAGGTGAACTTATAATCATGCCCGTTGGCTGTAGCTATATCTGGTTTTGCGAGACTGTTTCGACACACTAGGCATGATGCGTTGATAGCAGTGGTGTTGTTGCTAGTTTTAGATGTCTCCTGCATCATGTTTGCTAGCCTTCGAACTTTTTCACTAGCACTGCAGGAAGTTAGATGCTGACGATGAATGTAGCACTAGACGGATTCTCGTTTTTGTAATAACCAAAGCTTGATTGTAGTAGATAAGAAATCACCAATTGAATGCTGGAGATGAATGAGAAGTATGGGTACAAGGACATGACTAGAGCTCCTTCATAGTGTCGTGCTAGATCAGATCATCCCGTACGTATACCTTAGCATCCAAGGCTCTAAGATCACATATACACCACCCATCAATAGTTTCAGTTTTAGAGGTAAGTCCGCTCGCCAGCTTTTGAATCAATGATGTGAAATTGTCTAAGAATGGTGCAAAGTAAAACTACTACAGACCTCGAATTTCAAGGAATATCATGAAGAGATTTTTTGCGTGACAATATCTGTAGAGTCTGCAACTCATCCGATCTCATCTCATCAAGAACCTTCTTACAAGCTTGATCCACTTTGGAAAGCGTTCATTTGGTTGTGCGGTTGTGCATCTTCCAGCTTGTGGATGATTATTGTACTAGCACGTTGGTTGATTGAGAATGACTTTTTCAGGTGCGACGGTTCTTAAATTGCAATCATCATATTTGGATTTAGCCGCCATAGTAACTCAAAACAACTCATGCTATTATTAAAGGTGCCAGTCTTCTTGTTGGAAATGATCAAGAAAAGTAGTTAACTTGTAATTACATTGGAGATACTACTAGTATTTTGGAGGAACTCCTCCGAAGTAAATGGCCCATGAAATCTTTTCTTTCTTGTCCTTCACAACTCATCATCGCATTACAAAGCCTCGGCATGCTCTGTGCTATTCACGGTTATATCTGCTGGGAGGCCATCTCTGGAAAACCGCTTGGCACACTACTCAGGAAATCCTTGCCAAAAGCTAGTGTTGATACCAAATTCTATAGAGTACCATTAGAATACAATAGTCTCGAAACCGATGAGGTCAACTTACCATCGGACCATATCTTCACTCTTTAATTTTTCTATGACTGATGCTTCACAACGCACGACTTGCTTGCCAAACCATTCCTTTCGCCATCTCAAGATCCCTAAAAGTGACATTCTTGAGTCTTCAGAATCGGAATAACGAACTCGAGTACCGCCTCAATATGGCATTGAATATACGACCGACCAATCCGACGCCTATCGAGCCTCATCGTAAGCCGTATCCTATACCGAAGATAAATAAGAACGGACCTTATGAAAACCTAGGACCACTGAATACTCGATCTAATCTTGAAGGTACTATTCGCTAAACGTCTGTGTAGTTTCTTTCCACAAATTCGGATAATTCTCAACCAAATCATGTCGGATGGGTGTTTTAGCGTTATGTGGTAGAATGCTCTAAAATCTACCCTTAGCTTTTGTCCTCCCATCGGGCAAGATGGTCAGAATATATGCTCGAGATGAGGAAGCTTGCAAGCCATTAGATTAATCATTTTGGCTTGAGATACTTCAATATAGAATGGGATCTGGTCACGGAATTTGTGATAGCAAATAAAGCCTCCGGATATAGCAGCCTCAATGGAGTCAAGAACACCCAAATGAGCAGACATAACTTCGGCATCAATTCTTAATAAAGCTTGAGCGGGAGACTTTGTCGGGTCATGGTTACGGCCCGAGTCGCTAAGTACTAGAAAGTGAGTCAGATTTACTGAATCGAACACGCGGAGTGTGTCAGAGTGAGATCAGTTGTATTTGTGTATTAATCGCCCGGAGAGTAATGACATGCTTCCCGTCCGCTATTTTGAGCTAGATTCAATAACTATATGAAGTGTGCTAAAACTTATCCTATGCAGAGTACTCACTCATCAAACCCGCAATAACATTTGGCATACCGTGAAATAATTGATGATTAAGATGTGCCGTTCTTGTATGGCAGTCTCGAAAAGAAAAGGAAGATCAATAGGCAAATGGAATGTATCCGGGTCGACATGCTTACTTGGCAAGCTAGTTTAAATAATGTAATGAACAAAACATGACTTGCATCCTCACGCTAACATCAAACTTCGAATATGTAAACCATGTACAGAATGAGTTGATAGCCTTTTGGCTATAGACATTACCCTAAGATCTATTCTCTGGTAAGAAATAGATGACAACACCATAAAGCCAAGAACACTCCTGAAGTAAGTAGAGCCCTATAAGGGACATTTGTACTCGGGTCCATAGCTTTGGAGAGAATGTGTTGTTTTCACATTCTTTCTGTTGGACTCCGGTAGCTCAATATGACAAAGGTTGCAGCTGTTGCTTTAGTACGGAGGTACGTGCATGCTGGTACGTACTATCTCGGCTAGCGTCACATCTTCGGGAATCTTTCACATCATCTAACAACGACGACAACAACAAGAGCAACAACAACTGATAATTGCCTGCTCAAGTGGAAGAGCAGCAGATTTACCCCGTAAAGCAATACCAAGTTATCAAACAGTAAGGAGATTTTAAGACCTCCGCGGAATAGTCAGCATTTCATCTTTTATCCAATCAAATGCGATCAATCTTACAATATCACCTAACTCCGATATCTTATCAGATTTTAGCCCGAAAAACATCTCCGACAAACATCTCCGAAACTCCGTCAGGTCACAATGTATTGGCAATGCTATGCGCAAACGCGTCTATTTTTCTTTTCGAGAACGTATCTTGGCCAATACCAACCAGAATTGTATAATCTTTCGGGAATCATTGAGCATTATGGCCGATTCAATTCACCCAGACTCCTTTTGCTTTCAAATCTCGCATGAATCATGTCGTTCGGCACGGCACATGAAAGGCAAGCCGGAGGTATCCCTACTTCGCCAACTTATATATTGATATAGTATTTTCTACTCCAATGCTTCATTATCTCCATCACTCTTCATCTTCTCAACTTCATTCACATTCTCATTCACATATACCGTGAGAGCTGTGGAAAACCAACAATGTCTCCAAATACGGCAGAAACTGCTTCCCAACCGGGTAGAAACTCCACACTCGCCTCCTCAATCTCATCCTTAGATGACAAACCTGTGAGGCCCGAAGGATCGGACGGGGATGCCTTTACAACAGATTCAGAGAAGGGTCCAATAAACAGCAGTCCACCCCCAGCACCGGAGCACGTGAGAACAGTTACTGGTTGGAAATGGGTTCTCATTTGTGTTGGCTTCTATGTCGCTACTTTCTTGTATGGCTTGGACAACACTATTGCCGCTGATATTCAATCCGCTGTACTCGGAACTTATGGTGATATTTCAAAGTTATCTTGGTTGGGTACTGGTTTCCCGCTAGGATCCATTGCTACGATCCTTACTATGTGAGTATGACATCCCTTGACGATTATGTAGATGCTGATTATATTCTTAGTGGTAAAGCTTATAGTACTTTCAATGTCAAGTGGACCCATGTCATTTCAGTTATCATCTTCATCGTTGGTAGTGCTGTATGCGGTGCTGCTCCAAACATGAATGCGCTCATTGTTGGAAGAGTGATTGCTGGTGTAGGAGGAGCTGGAATGTACCTCGGAACCTTGAACTTGGTCGCCATCAATACTACCATTCAAGAACGCCCTCTCTATCTTGGAGGCGTTGGTATTACTTGGGGTCTTGGAACGATTCTTGGCCCTGTGATTGGAGGAGCTTTCGCAGATTCAGGAGCAACCTGGAGATGGGTAAGTATCCCGCTAAAATGTCAACTCACAAATACTAACAGGCTCATAAGGCTTTCTATATCAATCTTGTCATCTTTGGTATCGCAGTGCCGGCTCTTCTTTTGATCCCATCATTCGACCCACAGCCTGACCTAGACATACTCCACAAAGTCAAGCATATTGACTGGATTGGAGCTCTGTTGAACGCTGGTCTCTTTACCTCATTCGTCATTGCTCTTACCTTTGGTGGTGCCAACTGGGCCTGGAATGATGGTCGCACCATTGGTACATTCGTCGCCTGTGGAGTTATCTTCATCCTTTTTGCAATCCAACAACAATTTTGCATTTTCACCACACCCGAGGATCGACTATTCCCAGTCCAATTCCTCAAATCACGAACTATGATTCTCCTATTCATCTGTACCGCGGCAGCAGGAACAGCGCTCTTCGTTCCTATCTTCTATATCCCCCTCTTCTTCCAATTCTCCAAAGGAGACGATGGAATTGAAGCCGCTGTCAGACTCCTGCCATTTATCGTCCTCTACATTGTAACTGTCATGTCACAAGGAATACTCATGCCCAAGGTAGGCTATTACTGGCCATTCTTCGTTCTCTGGGGTATGTTTGCTCTCAGTGGAGGCGCTGCAATGACCACAGTCACCACCTCCACAAACGCAGGTTCCATCTACGGTTGGAGTATTCTCATCGCCATTGGTTGCGGTATGACCACCCAAGCTTCATACAGTATCGCACCCGCTATCCTTGGTCGTGATGGTCGCGGTCAAGAGGTCCCTGCCTCAATTGGATATATCAATGTAGCTCAAATCGGTGGTGTGGTCATTGGTCTCACGGTCTCTGGTACAGTCTTTCAAAGTACCGCATTTAGAAACGTCAACGCGGCATTCGAAGGCCAGCATTTCTCGGCCGACCAAATCAGAAGTGCAATTGCCGGATCTCAAAGTGCGCTGTTTCAAAGTGTGTCGCAAGAACTGAGGGACAAGGCTATTGAGGGTATTGTCCAGGCGATTGACCAAACATATTATTTGGTAGTGGCTGGTGCGGCTTTGACGTTGCTATTGAGTTTCTTGTTGAAGAGAGAAAAGTTATTTATGGAGATGGCGGCTGTTGGAGGATAGATAGACGATGGGATAGGCCATAAAGAGGACTGGATGAGGTAGATGAGAATCTGGGAAAGGTAGATACCTAATGGTGTTTGTTAATTAATGATCATACGGTTGGACGAATTACACTACATCGCTTGCGGATATTAGGACAAAATTAATATCTGGAGCTCTTTGGGATGGCGTTATAGTATATATTATATATTTTTGGGAAGGGAATCCATGCTTGCATGCTGTTGGATTATGGAATGTTAAGACGAGATGTAATAAAGGATCATAGAAATTATTATTTAATCAATCTTTCTCTCTTAGTCACTGGACTCATGGCGAACTTTTCTGTCTGATTTTTACTAATCAGTAGGCATTCAACCGATTCCTAGTGTCTCATTTGGACCGTGAGGTTTTTTCCGTCTGGCTAACAAGTGATAATTGAGATGGTGCGAGAGTAGAAGGGCAACGGCAGCTAGATCCTAAGAGAGGAAATGTGGAAATTGTAATATATACTTCGATCAAAATGGCTCCTTCATTGGTTAAACTTCTTTTTAACAAATGGAAGCTCACTAGGAGTATTTTCTTCCAAAGTCCCCGGTTAGCTATCATTCCCAAAATAGGAATCCCAAGTTTGTTAGGTAATGACACGATTGCTTCATCATAGCTTTCAGGTATTCCTTTTGGGAGTGTCTATTTGAGGATATAAGGTTCCTTGTGAGAAGGAAAGAGGAATGATATAAAGGATATTTGAATTGTATTCAAGGTGGTTATTGATCTCAACACCATGAAAATATACCTAGTCATATATTAGTCACGGCCATACTCAGCTTGAGCATCATGAAGACCAAAGTTCAGCAGATATTACAAATATGATACATTTTTAGCTATCATAAATATTATCTCCTCAAAGGCTTATACTTATCACTAGCATGACGAGCCTCCCAACCTCTAGCCTTCTGTTTTGGCTTCAGCGCTGGGATTCTCGTCCTCTTGAACTCAAGATCCCATCCTTCGATTCCTGCTCTCTGCATAACTCCTTTAGTACCCTCATCCCATTGACTTCTAAAGAGTCCCAATCCTATGGGTTGTACATCATGTCTATCCTTGAAACCTCTCAAGTTAAATCGATCACGCTGATAAAATTCTTTGAGTCCTGCTACGTCCAGAATTTGTCCGGGTTTTTGCTCCAATACGAATACCGAGTATCGATGATATGGTGATCCTTTTTGCGCGAATGGTGGTAGCCATGGGAGGATCAATTGGCTTTCTGGGTTGACTTTAGATAGTGGTAATGAGTCTTGTACTGGGGAGATTGGAATATTGGCAGCGAGGTAATGACATCTTGTGTTAAAGTGATCGTTCTCCACATTCGGAACATCTGCATCCACAACCACAACACTGACGAGTCTCTCCCCTTTGTCAAAGATCTGAACCTTTAATCTGGCTGGAAACTCGCTGACTCTGGAATCCACATAGTCTCCCGGTTGAACATTCCGACTTTGGAAAGCGAGACGGACTTCGGCGGTAGGTTCGAAATGAGGAAGAAGATCAGGGACGATCGAAAATTGCTCGATACGTTGAACAATCACTTTGCGTTGATATTCGCGCCATTTTCGGTCTGCTAGGTAGCGGTAGATTGGTTTATTCATGTCACCTAAGAAATTTAGCAATGCGACAGAATAACAACTTTTGTATTTTCCATACCTTCACCATCCTCAAATCGCTTCTTGATCAAAGGATCATTGATGTCCGCCTGGATCTTTAAATACTCGATATACCTCCTTATACTGTCTAGTCTGGTCTGTTTCTGTCTCTCACCCCCGCTAATCGAAGCATCCTGTGCCTCCAAGTTCTTGAGCCTTAATCTCTCCTTCGCGATCATCTCTAGCTTTTCCTCTCTGTCCGCTTGTAAGATCTTTCGAGCTTCCTGGAAACATTGATATGGTAGTTGTTCGAACGGGATATTGGCGGAACTCTTCAGCGCTGCGCGACGACGTCTAGATCCTATAGGCATAATACCCTGCCTCATCAACTTCCGTTCATTTTCTGGCCTCACAACAGTCGCCGGGTCGAGACCAACTGGTGCTGCTTCCTGAACTGCAGCTTCTGCATTGAATGTTGTGGAGCTCGTAAACGTTCGTATTGATCTTGCAGATAGACATAATGACGGAGTTTTCTGTAGGCATCGTGCCATTGGCCCTACGGCCTTTTGACAAGGAGGCATGGCGATGTGGTGTTGATATGTGACGTTCTGACAAAATTATCGAAGGCCAATATCAAATATTGGCGGGACTTGCCGAGGAATTGCCGAGGAAATTTAATTTTGGCCTAGCCTCGTCGAGATTCATTGAAATCAACGACGACAGCGACCTCACAAAAATTAAGTCGCACGAATATGGCGACGAAAGGGCTTCAGAGCTTCACGAGAAGCTTGAATGCTTTCCGCACATCAATAAATAGTGCGAGGGATCCATTAACAGTATGTCGTATAGATTGCCGGCTGGGAGCGAACCTGAGTACTGATTTTACTATAGCAATGTCTAGCACCACAATTTACGAGGTCAATGGCAACAGAGGCGCCGTTACCGTCCAGTATCTCCCAAGGATATGAACCAAGTATTCTCACAAATACATCAGATATCGTATCTGATCCTTTCAGTACGTATTCCTTGCGAAATTCCTCTATCTATTCACTAACACCCCGCGGACCCCCCGGTTCTAACCACTATCTACAAATTCCCGACCATGGAACCTCTCCGTTTCCAATCCTACCCAAGTAAACATCTTCACCTCCCTCTCCGTCGAGATCTTCTTCATCGCGCTGTAATATTCGAAGGCGACAATACCCGTCAAGGAACTGCATCCTCCAAAACTCGCTGGGATGTCCATGGTTCTCATCGAAAAGTCCGTCCGCAAAAAGGAACCGGTAGTGCTCGTCTTGGCTGGAAGCAATCGCCATTAATAGTTGGAGGAGGAAAATCATTTGGTCCTCACCCAAGAGACTTCGGAACAGACTTACCGAGAAAAATGTACGATATTGCGTGGCGGACGGCGCTGAGTTGGAGGTATAGAAGAGGACAATTGATAGTTTGTGAAGATGGAATGACATTTGAGTATCCAAAAACGAGATATGCGAAGAAAGTTTTTGAAGATTTGGGATGGGGAAAGCAGAATGGGAGGACTTTGATTGTGACGGATGGTTTCAGGAAGAACCTGTCAAGTGTCGTGGACAAACATGATGCGACTGTGTTGGAAGTGAGTGATGTGGATGTTAAGGACTTGTTGGAGTTGTCGAGGGTTGTGATAGAGAAGAGTGCGTTGGATCACATATTGGAAGAGCATCAGAGTGATCTTGTTAAGAAGATTAGGAGTGCTGCGTGATGAATGAGCTATGGTAATATATTTCAAGCTCTTTCTCTTGTGTATAGAGTATTGTACGAGAAATGTAACGATTTCTAGATGGAAGGCATAGTATAGGTGTCTTGTCGAGAGAAGTCTCTATTGGTGAAAATACCGATGCTTGTTCGGCATACTTCTATTGCATCATGATATGTTGCAGGGGATATATGTAATTTTGGAGTTGATTGTATCTGCCACTACATTCAATAGTGTACAGGCACTATTTCCAACTATCCAGGCGCAGTCCAAGAATGAAGATTCTGAACGACTGCGTTCATATAAGACTGAAGAAGTTTGTGACGTTGAACCCAATCGAATAATCTTCAGTTGTGGCACTTTTCTGGGACGAATCGCACGACTAGGCTTGCTTCCGTTATCAAAATTCATCGTCATTGCCGTTTCTAGCTACCACCTATTTTGTACATGCGAGCCATTCTTTTCATGCCCGACGGGCTTTTTTTTGTGATTCCCACGTAAATTTTGCACTTCATCTACCTCTTTCTTCCTTACTGTCTTACAGAGCAATATCTCTTTCAATGCATTACTTTCAGATAAGTCCGATTTTAAAGTCCATGCATACGCACATCCGCACTTTTGTTTAAACTCTTTTAGCCCCTGCACATACCTACATTTACAAAAGTCACCAAGATACAGCAGAAAAAAATTCAAGGCCAAACTTTGCAACAGTATGAGAGCCTAGCTCCAGACACTTCAGCTCTGGATTTTCCTACCTTGTAGTATATTTATGCCATATTGTGCGTATGCGGGGATAGAGGTAAGCGCACGGCGGCGAAGTTTCAACGAGGAAGGACGTCAGCGTGCACTTTAACTCGGAAAAGCGGACACTCGGCTCGAGAAATTATGAATTTTACCATTTACTCGTCTAGTCTTATGGATTACTTCGTTGGGAATGTAGATATTTTGAGTGTATGAACTAGATGGGTGAACTATTCTAGGAGGCGTAATGCGATGCCGTGTGTGAAGGGCAATATTTCCCTTGGTGGCATTTGAATGTGGCGTGAAAATTGGAGTAATTTGCGCTTGTATGTTTTAGACGGGGTATTTAGCTCAGCTGATCGTCTTTCCTCTTCAGGCCCCTTAGTCCCAGTTATGCCCCGCGAAATTGGTTCCATCCTTAGCTCATTTGGACCCAAATCTTTTCGGCCTATCCGATCTCGCTTGTCAACTTTTCATGTATCTATCTATGTTTTCGGCAAGGGAGAGAATGTTTTAAGTTCTAAGTTGCCTACTATGGTGATCTCCTACATCTCTAAGTATCCTAGACACATCTCGGAGAACATTGAGATCTTTGAAGTAGTGAGGCTAGAATCTAGTACACAGAAAAGTTTATATTTAGCTGGAGTTGCCAACACCATCGTTATTATTGTTAACATTATAATAATTAAACATTGCACGCTTCTACATCTTATCTTCTAGTCCGAACTACTTGGGGACCCTGTATCAGAAATCTAGATATCTTGACAAGATGAAACTTGCAATACTAAGAATGGTCAAAAGTAATATAGATTGACATGCTGGAGTTGGAAGTGTCGAAGCTATGACTAGACCATGTAGTCGAAAAGTTTTTATGATCTTCCTACCTAAACAATTTAGCCTAGCACTTTCGTAAAAACCCAGGACCTGGTGACTTGGCAACCGCTCGAGAAATTTACTCGAGGAGGAACCTAGCTGAATTGCCACCCCGCAATACTCTATTACATAATATCACGGAAATTGAGTGTAAATAAAGAATTTTAAATGCCTGCTACAGGGTTCTAATAATATGCCCCTATTCAATATTGTTCTATGCTTCTAAATGTTCCGAATTTGGTCAAAGCTTAGAATTTTCTTTTTTTAGGGTTAGTTTCAGTTGATTTGCTCCTTGTAAACTTTTAACACATAGCTCGTAGTAATTACTACCATGAAGTGTGACTCAAAAATTTCATCATGACACCTCCTCCGAATGCAGTGACTCGGCAGTCGTGTTGATAGTGTAGGCTTACACCAGATAACATTGATTCTGTAGTGTCAGCGCGATCAAAGTGCCGTCTGCATTGGATATCTCATGCACGGTTGCGTGTGGAGTGTCACTAAAGCTATTGTGGAAACTTCGATGCAACTCGTATCATGATGCAGCGAATGAGCTTTGTATCATAAATCCGATATGACATCTAGTTTCAAGCTTTTGGCAGAATAGCAAATCACATGAAGGTGTAACAGGGATGTAGATTTTTTAGGGTAGATCAGGATTCATATCTGGATCGACAAATGGAACATTATGCCTGTCGATATCGAGAAGAGTGAGAAGCACTAACTTGCTGAGAAATCTGCTAAAAGAAACATCTAATGGAGGGGTAGTTTTCGCTAAATTAAAGGAGCGCAATAGCGTGTAGCCCGGGCCACATGGGGGACCGGCCACTACACAATTAGCATTATTAGCTTCATACTCTTGATGATCACTGGAGGCTAGAGCGTCTAGGTTGAAAGAGTACCAAATTTCCCCTCGTTCATATGACATAATCAATCTAAAAGGTAGTACTAGTGATATAGTTTAACCTTCATTCGCACCCTGCTTTTCAGGATACAGTCTTCTTTCCGAGGAAGTTTGTCCTATTTGCACTAAATGAACTCGCATGGCCCATTCTCATATATCTATATAAGGCTTGCTTCTTCTCTTCCTCATTTCTTTTTTCAAGCCTCTACAATCTGAACCGCAAAGGAGCAGGATAGGCCCTGATTGTGCCTTCAGCTCAAGCCCCAAGTATTTCTCAACAGCTCTTTTCTTTACTCAATTCAAATAGATGACTTCGATCAACAAAAATGTATGTGATTCATGATATCTTTTATCAGAAAGAAAAATGCTAGTAACTCTTTATCAGCTACACCGAAGCATTGAAAAGCTCAATTGATCCAGCTCCTCCTGAAAGTAAATGAGTTAGGTTGCCTCTCCAAATCTTCTCCAGAATGACAGGCCAACTTTTTCTCCTCTGCTCATCATTCAAGCTTAGTTCTACAGTCTACTCAGGAGGGAAGTTGACGATTTGATTCCTCCTCAAAAATTTAATGCTAACTTTTCTTTTTAAAATCATCCCAAAGTTTAGTGCTCGCTCATGCTGTTTAAAAAAAGACAACAGAAAGGCTGACTCATAGGTTCCCTTTTGAAATATCTAATGCTGCATTCCCTCTCGTATCTAAAACGAGATGGCACTTCAACAATAAGGCAAGTTAATTCATGAACTTTCCACAAGGACAATGTTGATTACTTTTTTCAACCCTGCCTATAAACTAAGATCTCAAACCCTCTCGAGAAATAGTCTTAATTGGTCGCACCCATGACATCAGTGAGCTAATTTCCAAATTTTCCTTTAGAAAATGCTAACTCATCCTCTTCCTCCAACCAACCCAAACCTTTAGACCCCAATTGACACAACTCTTTCCACGGAAGGAAAATTACAAAATAAGAAGGCAAGCTGATTTATGAACTCTGCTGTAAGATTAACATACTAATAATTATTGCGTCCTTGAAAATCAGATAAAACGGCACATCGGCAGAAACAATATTTCCAATGCCTTCTATTCTCCTGCATTTGACACAAGAGGATTAGGTGAAGGAAATAATGGGTGGCAGGCAAGTTAACTCATACACTTCAAGTCCAAAAATTATGCTAATCATTTTGCGCATATAATCTTTGACAAAATTTCTTGGAAAATCAGAAGAGATGGATTAACTGGTCAGGTGTCACCCTTCATCAACATCCTGGGTATGAGCTTTATGGGCGCCTAATATGGGCGGTAAGTCTTGAAGCACAACTGAACTGAAAGATTACAAGGAGAATTTATAGCTAATCATGAGATGAAATCAATTGATTTTTCTTAGGGCTAATCGCAGAGTTCCTTGATGCGGCGGAAGCTCGATAGGCTTTGGAAAAAACCTGTAGCAATGCATCCTGTTTGTTTTGCTGGGAGGAAGAAATATAAGAATCTTTAGCTTAGGTTTAATGGACAGATACCAACGAAATTTTGGGAGAAGGGTGGCAGGGTAGTAGGGTGGGGCGTGTCATGTACCATTTTTATTTCTGTAAGAGTTGTGCTTGTTTAAATAATAGTTTCTATGTATGTAGAATTCACAAGTGTTATATGATTAAGAGATGATATTTGACATGCGATGCTCCATGAGATTGTGAGATTAGGATGACATTGTAGACATAAAAACTACTTGTTTTGTTGTATAGGTTCTACAAACAATAATCTTCCTATCAATTGGTACATAACGCCTAGACTGACTCTGTGATCTGGAATGTATCATGCTATCTTTATTAACGTGAAGTTGATGAACATACAAGTAACCGAAAATCAACAAAGAATTGCTATTTTACATGCTATAAATTAAAGACCTAAATAGAGTAAGATCTAAGATTATAGCTCAAGGCACTAGCCCCGTAGCGTGACAACATCACCTTAGGGCCTAATTAAACTCAGCGTAACATGAGTGTTCCGACCCCATAAGTTCCCAATCTTCTGAGAGTGTCTTACCGAACTCAGATGTCTCCAAAAGTCAAAAATTTCAACGAGGAGCGCTTGGCTCGAAATAGTTCAACTTCTTTTCCTATATTGTAGACTTGACGCAAGAAGTATCCTTCCTCATTCATAAACAGTCGTCCGAGCTCGAGTATACATCCTCGTCCCGAGTCACACGATCAGTATAATAATTCACCCAGATCACCTCCAAAATATCATCCAGCCTCATACAAACAAAAACTATACATTCCACCTCAAGTTCCTGGAGGTTCATCTTTTCAAATGTTTGGGATATTAAAAGTTAAACCATGTAACCTTAAATACCTATTCAGACGTCATGAACACTCGCCAAATTTAGTTTCCCCCCTACATTATCCTACAACATTCCCCCACTAACGCTAGCCTCTTTAGTACAAGGCTATCACATGCCCTCGCGTCCCCCTCGACGCGTTTTTATGGATTTCTTTTTTACACAAACCCACCAAACATCAACAGCTCAGCCTCGTCTCATCACACCTAATAAATATCCAAATACCCAAATACCCTCAACCTCAAATATCTCAACTCGATTCAAATTCAAATTCAAATTCAAATTCAAATTCAAATTCATAACCTCAAACCTCCAATCCCCAAGATCCAGAGTATTCACCAAACCATCAATCAAAATCTCACCATGTCCGAAACCCCCAGCACTCCCCGCATAACCTCTTCTTATCTTAATTCCTTCACATCGCGCACCGTACGCATGGTGGGAAAGGTTACGCAGTTGAGGGGTGACCAGGCGAGTATTGATTGTGAGGGGCCTGTTACTGTTATTCTCAGTCGAGTGAGTTTTTTCTTCTTCATTTCACATACTCATGTCTCACTGTTCATATTTCGTACATCTATGTCCTCTATCAATTTCCTATTTATAATCCTGTTCATATCCCTATTTATATCTTCCCTCTCCAACTATCCCCCATTTCTCCTCCCATATTTTCCATCTAGCAGAAAATCGAAATAAAATCACGAATCAAAAGCTAAACTATCACCAAACCAGGATGCCCACCTTCAAGTCGGCTCCGCCGTCGAGATTGTCGGAAAAGTAAATCAAGATCTCAGTGTCAAAGTATTGAAAGCTACAGATTTCGGCACAAATTTCAGTACGATTTTTCTTTAGGCCTCTTGCCCTTCTCTCTCTTTCTCTCTTTCTCTCTTCCTCTTCCGTCATTTCCCACTTCCTCCCTTCCACCACACTCCTCATCCCTCTCCAGCATCCCTTCTTTCGCCCAACCATAGAACAACAAACAAACCCACTAACCCCCATCCCTTTCCACTTAGACTTCGCAGCAATGAACGCCCTAGTCGACGCAAATCACCGGTACAAAGAAATCTGGTACAGCGAGAACTCCTAAACCACCCACTCCCAGTCTATTCACACAATCGCATCAAGGGAAGAAAACTCCACACTATGACATTTGAGCTGCAATAGGAAGGACACTTAAGAGCAACGTTGCAGACAAGAGGATTTCCATTAATTAGAGAAGAGAGGAAGAAGGAGGTTATGAAATGAGATAGTAGGATGAGATAAGATATAATACGATACCTAGTACCCTCTCTACAGGCAAAGAGAGATATAAATATGGAGAAGTGGCTTGTAGGATGTAGGTAGGATGTGGATGTGGAAGCAGAGATATACGAATGGGATAGATGATGCATAGACGATCAGCGCTGCGATGATAAGTCTTACATCATATCATATACCTCTCTCCCTCTCTATCTAGAAAACAAATAGCAAGATGTTGATCTTCCCCCAAAAATACTAGATATACACATTTATACAAACGATACAAGACCGTTGCGTAAATATACCTACATGAACATAAACATGAAAATAAACATTAAACATCAAATCTCAAACAAGAAACACAGGATTTCATCACGAATTTCACATCCTCACTATGCCAATCCAAAACAGATAATCACGTATGACATAACATAACCAATCCATTGTTTTTATCCAACCTAGCTAATACACACAGAGCGACCCCTTCAATACTCCAACAACAAGTGACCAACTAGCTACCCAAAAAAAAATCGTAAAGCTTCGCTGATATCATAACGCTACTACTAATAACTACCTATATATACTTAGGTAAGTATCTATACAATCGCAATGTAGTAATTTTCGCCGACCAAAAATTTTCAATCTCAAATCCCAAGATCCCAATACTCCGCAAACCCAGACACATCATCATATGCATTTAACTCGGAACGAATGACAAAAAACGCCGCGCTGTTGGGAAAGTTAGGAATTTCCGTTCTTTCCCATACCCATGTATTCCAACGCTACCCAAGAAAAAAAGAAAAAAATCCAAACACCACAATAATGCAACCCATCAATCATGAGAAAATACAAATTCAAGTTCGTGTTATTTGTTCGTAAGTGAAAGACGTAGTGAGCGAATTAGGCCGTCTCATCTGTTGTTGTTTCCTCCGTCGGTTCCTGCTTGATCTCCACATTTTTTTCCTTTTGCTTCTCTTTTTCATTTGAGACGGAATCAAAACCGAAATTATCCCAGTCAAGAGGTCCTCCCGCCGAAGTATTATTAAATCCAGGAAATATACGGGGTGGCGAAGAAGGCATTGGTACATCTGTTGAAAAGAAATCTTCATCGTATTGTTGAAGATTGTAAGATCCATTTTCGAAGCTAGGAAGATCAGGTAAATTATCAAAATCGAGGTGTTGAGAGGGGGAATGGATAGGATTGTCAGACATGAGCTGATTCAATTGGGCAGTAAATGGTGACTCGAAAATAGCATTGCCACGAGGAGTTCGGCGACTTGATCCAGGGGTTTTGCTTGGTGTTTTTGGAGGTGCCAAAAGATGGCTTGCCGATTTGACCGAGCGACTAGATCTTGTTACACTCCTGGTGATGGGCCTATGGCTTGGAGTTACTCGAGTTGGAGTTTTGAATGGATTTGCGACTGGGGTTTTTTGAATTGGCGTGGTTGGACGAGCAAATTGCTCCTCAATTAATCTCATAAGTTCAGCTTCCTCTTCTAGATCAAATGGTGCCGAACAATTCTCCTTGTTCATCGTTCCACTGACTACATCTTTGGCGTTGTGAATGTCAACAGCAATTTGAACGAAATTCGCAGTAACTTCGCCTAGGACTTTAGGGGATGAATCTTTACGTGGTGAAGGAAACAAAAGTCGCCGTGTGGTGTCCCCTTCTGGCCCATCTCCTACTTCAACATGGCTGTTATGTGTCCACCTAGCTGGACTAGATTGTAAAGCCCTCCTTAGTGCCGCGGAAGCTGAATCTGAGGTCATTGCGTTCATCTTCTTAGTAGGACGGAGACTGTTTGCTCGGCGCACTCCGTTTGGACGATCATTACCATTGGATATCTGATTGGCAGAGTTTAACCCATCGAGGTCAATGGGGGACATACGGTCAGTGCCAGAAGGAGCCGCAGGCTGTTGATAGAAGGCATCGGATGGGGGTAAATTGATCTCTGACTGTGGAAAATTTGCTTCAGATGTGGGCATAGTAGTAGCAACCTTAGCTTTGGAAGGTCGCTTTTTCTTTGTATCCGGGTCTTTGCCCCACTTTGCTTCTGGGCGTTGAGACTTATACTTCGACATCCAAATACCACAAGCTATGATAATTAGTGACTGAAAATCTCAAAAGCTATTTATAACTTACGATTGCAAAGAATGAATGCCTTGTACTGTTTTTGATCTTCACCAGCAGCAAGGGCTTTTTTAATGAGGAGATACGAGGTGGGAAGTCCGGTGTCATCTCTTGAGAGAATGTTAATTGCTGTCACTCTTCCAGCTTCTTCAGAGTATTCATGGTAGCCTGGAGCACCTTGACATTCTTGTGACCACGCTCTGCGCCAAGTTGGAGTTTCTATAGCGCCGCAATTCTCACAATACTGGGGCATTTGTCCATTTCTGAGGGCATTCTCCAACTTCTGCTTAATAGACGCCTTCTTAGCTTCTGTTTGGCTAGGTGCATTGGGAGTTTCAGTCATATAATGTGGATTTTCAGACCAGGTTTGAGATCGCTGAAACGTAGGTGGAAGAATGGGTTCATTCGCAGGAATAGCTGGAAGAGCCATGGATCCAGTGGAAGCGGTCCGAGAAAAGTTTCCGGATGCTGGACGAGGCTGAGGCGGTGGAGGTCCTGCAGGCATTTGGGATATTGGTTGGTTTGTGAACTCACTGGTTGGTGGCGTGGGTAAATGCAAAGTCGGCGCTGGTGGATCCATACTGGGAGCAGTTTGGACCTGAGAAGGCGGCCGAGAACTGGGACGGGTATCTGGCTTTAAGGGGGGTAATGACTGCCCATCTTCGGACATGATACTATTCCGTCTAGATTTTGGTTGTACTGACTTGGGAGGTTTTGGTTTAGCCTGCTCACTGAGAAGCATCCGTTTAGGGAGCAGTTCCATGGGACCTGGTGTTTCTTCTTGGATATGGAATCCACCATTAAGATTCGAATTTGTAGGCTGCATTTTGCGAGGCCCTCGCCGTTTGGTGCTCTTTTTTGCAACCACAATATCCTCTTCATCGATTGGGCGCGAGATTTCATCATCTTCTCCAAAAAGATCATCGAGATCATCTAAATTACCGCTCATGAAGCCAGAATCTAACCTAGGCATAGGTGGCAGCGAAGGACTCGAAAGGCAAGGGGGGCTTGATCGTATTGACGGAGTGACATTTCGTAAGACTGGTGGGGATGATGCGATGTCTTGAGGTGTAAATCCTGGACTAGCAACCTGTTCCGGTGAGGGATGGGCTGATTCAATTGAGAGTCTGAGACGATCTTCTGGGGGGAGTGAAGGTTCTAATTGTGAATAAGCTGGTGAGTGTGCTTGAGGCGTCTCTGATTGAGGATTCGACCCCTGTCGAAGCCCACTTTGTGACTGCGGTCTGTGCTGATTGACTGGTTGTGGTAAGATTGGTACTGGGGTGGGGGATCGAGGAACTTCCTGTAAATGATTACCAGCTGCTAAGCCTCCAGACGGAGCTAGCGGTCTGAAAGCACGTATAGAACCTGCAGTACTTGCTGTGACTCGGAGTGAGTCAGACCCTGACCCAAATGCCGACCTATTACTCCAGTCCGCCTGAGTAATCTTCGCCCTTCTCTTCGGAGCGGGGCCATCTTCTCCCTCCGTCCCTTCTTCATATCCAGAGGTATTGCCTCCAGTTTCAGGGCGTGGGTTCTTCGGAGGGCGACCACGTCTTCCCCTCTTCACAGTCGTCCTAGAAGGGGGCCTAGCGATCTTAGGGTCTCTGGCAGCAATCGGTACTGGTTCCTCACGCACGGTTACAGGTGCTGGCGGTAAATTTTGATTATAAGGATTTACCGGTGGAAGACTGGGACTGAGAAGCTGATTGACAACTTCTATGCTAGTTCCTTTGTTATTCGACATAGCAGCCGGGGTTGGTGTCCTATTCGACATTTGAGATGGGGCGTTTTCCTGCGATCTTGATAAAGAATTCCATTCTTGCTGATCATATCTTGGTGTTGCCATGTTTTGATGGGGATTTCCCATGCTGTTTCTATACTCCATTGGTGGAACTGTTTGAGGGACCAGACGAAGCTTGACCTCCAAAGTTTCCTTCACTCCATTTGCAAATAAACCCATGATATTCTTGCATACTCGTCCAGTAATGAGCTTTTGTGACTGATGTATCGAGTTATTTGGCATAGGAGGCATCGTCAAAGCCCGAGAAAGCATCCCTTGTCCTACCAGAGGACTATCATCTTCAGAAAAATCGTAGGCATAAACGGTAAAATCTCGGCCGGGTCGAGGAAGCAGTTCTGGGCTGCATTCAATAATTGCCTGTAAACATGTGTAAAGATCGATAACACCTATTGAATTCTTCTCGTCCATAGCGATAGATTGAATTTGGAGTACTTGCGGCCACCGTGCCAAACAATTGGTTTTGCATTCGTCATCGAAAGTGTAGAGTACCTTGACTATGGGATTCCTACTGTAAGCAATGTGATCAATTTAAAACTCTATAGCAATGTACCTACGTCTCATTGGTCTAACCATCATGCCATTTTCACCGGAATCATTGTTACTCGCTGGCGGAGGAGCTTGAGGTGGTTGATTCTGTAATTGAGGATTTCCCATTGGTACCCCTGCCGGAGACGACATGGTGAGCTTTCCTCAGCTTCAATACCTGGGTCCTAAAGCTTTGAAGTATTCAATCGTTGCGAAATTTGATCAATTAAGATTGTTGAGGTTGGTATAAAATCATCCATTAAAGGTTGGAGTGAAAATGTAAGGAATTTTGGTGGCCCTAAGGTATAAATTTCGCGTCCAAACGTGTACCGCTACCGCTGTTTACGCGTTGAGAGCTTTGTGAAGTTGGCGCTAGCAAGAAAACTAGTAATTCTTAATTTGATCTTTGTTAAATGTAAAAGGCTGGAACTCCCAAATCGTCGTTACAAGTTCTTGATTTCTTTGATTTGTGGAGGTTATTGAAGTAGATATAAAGTAGCTATTTGTGAATATATGGGTATCTTGAATGAAGGTTCAAAGGTACCTATAGAATGTACCCTCTTTCCAATCTAGACGTCGCGAATAATTGAACAATCGGCTAGCAAGGATATCCTAGCCTCGTGGTGTGCATACTATCGCGAGGCTGTCGGTTCGGCTACCAACCAATAGTATGGTGGAAAATTAAGACATAAAAATGGAAATTGCGTCACTGGGACACTCGGCTCTCTCTTCAGCGAAAAGGTTATCGAAAGGCAGCACCATCAGCCAGATCAATGAACACAAGTTATTTGAGATAAATGTTTCGATGTTCAAGTATTCGGGGGATACCTATAGCTTTATATACTTTTTGGCCAGAGACGAATCTTTTGATATCCCGCCTAATTAGTAAATAAATCAATGACTCAGCCCCTATTTCCATCCGACTGCCCCAATCACATGATAATATCTTCCAATAAGATTTTAACATTTTGTTCGTATTTCTTTTTTTAATGCGACCGCTAATAATTTATCAACATCACAAAATAATTCTTACGTTAGGCGATGGCTTTTATACTTTCCATCATTGCACAAATACCCATATCATACATTAAAAACATGTACATGACTTAATAAAAGCTCTCACTGAGGATTTAGGACTCGAGGACTTGCTCTTGCTCCCATACAAGATGTCCTAGTTCATCCTTCGTTGTTTTCCTTTCGATGATCTCCGCCACCACTTCCTTTAAACCTTGTTTTCCTTCCGTCGCCTGAAGGAAGTGATTGATAACTTGGAACGTCGACTTTCCACCTTGGCGCACTACCTTCTCGACTTCAATTTCTCTTGGAACTCCAAACTTAAATGGATATTCATGGTAATCGCGATCGCTGAGTAGTTTTATCCGCTGTGATCCTTCAACTTTAAAGAATGGATCCGCAATTTTCTCTGTGCTGGCGTCTTCCTTTGTTGGTTGCCATTTCGGAGAGCCATCCTTGCGGACAAGCAGTGAATATATGCCTTCCGTAAAATCGGGATGGCGCATAAATTTAGCGGCAATCTGGTATTCTCTTTGGAAAGTCTCGGCGATCGACCAATCTTTGCCAATGCGCATTTGACGTAGTGCTACATGAACACTGGTAGGTGATCGTTGGTGCAAGGTAGCAAGAGTCTTTTCAATCCATCCTTTAATAGGGTTTTCTGGGGCCTCCAGCCCGTACTGCGCCGCCGCTGCTGCCGCTTCTGCCGCTTCGGTTTCCAGGAGGGCATGCTCGGCCTTTAGACTAGCAATAATTTCGGAAAGGTTTGATTTACTGAAGTGACGATCGATAGCCTTTCGCAATTCACCACTGATGAGCATTGGCTCATCATGAGGCAGACCTGTGCAGTATTCCTCAATAGTGCTATTGATCAATTGTGCTCTTTGCTCTAGGTTTTCGAAATCCTTAAATCGTAATTCCGCCAAACGCTTCTCTAAGCTAGGTAAAGACGTTGAGTGAATATAATGTGTTGCAATTCCAGAATAAAAGGCATTGACTCCCTTCAGGCGCTCACTAGTCAAGGCAAGGTAAGTTCCAACAGATCCAGCCATCCTAGGTAAAAAGAATGAAGCTCCGACATCTGGAAAGAAGCCTATAGTAGTTTCAGGCATAGCGAATACCGTCCTTTCAGTAGCTATTCGAAATGGAGCATGTATACTCAATCCAACACCGCCACCCATCGTAACTCCGTCCATGAAAGCAATGTAGGGTTTTTGATAAGTTGCAATAAGGTGATCGAGCTTATATTCGAGAGCAAAGTAGTCCGTAGACCGGGCTTGTCCTTCTGGTCCTTTGGTATTATCTTCAGCAAGCGCTACCACATCTCCACCAGCACAGAAAGCCTTGGGTCCAGATCCCTTGATAATGATCACATTCGCCATGTCCGATTTCGACCATTCCTGCAGTCTTGGTACAATTTTTCGAATCATCGATCCATTGAGGGAATGTAACTTTGCAGGTCTGTTGAGCTCGATCGTTCTCACTCCATATAAAGTATTGAATAGCACATCTTCCTTTTCGTCCCCTTCCAGTTCTGTGATAACTTCGGCTTGGGCATATGAAGGAGCATCTGAGGCCGTCCCCATCTATAATAGACATTAGCATTCACTCGTAAAGATCGAGAAAAGTTTCCCAAACCTGTGCTCTCCCTGCAAATGCAGGATTGGTAACCTTAGCTCTCAAAGGCATAATTGGAAATCTTGAGCCACAAGAGCGAACTGCCGCTCCAGCTCTACTACCCAAATATACTCCGAACATCAAGAAAGAAGGATCACACCGCCGCGCTTTAAAAGGAATGCGGAGAGGGCAAAGTTCTCTGGACCTCGGAAGTAAAGTCTCGTCGGTTACTTTTGTCCCCGCGCAAAATCCAGCCCGGTCAGATTTAAGGTTTTACGCTAAGCTATTCTTGGAGCTCGCGACCGCGATGGGAATTTTTGGTGCCTGGAAACTTTGACGACATCGATCATTGATGAAGTTATTGATTTATTAATCTACGAAATTAGCATCTTAATCATGGCGGATGCAGCAAAGATACAGTAAGAATCTTATACTTCTGTGGATTATCTCTGCACATGCTAATTTATTCTCTAGAGAACTTCTCGCCAAGCCTCGCAATGAGCTCACGTATGTCCAGCACTTCCTCCTCACTATACACCAGGCTCATCAAACTAACCTTCACCAGTGAGTTCGAGGTCGCCCAAATCGAAGAACATGAATTCACATCCGGTCCCCTCTCTCTCCTCCAAGCTGCTGTCCGCTCTCATGGACAAGTATTGATTTCCTGCCGTAACAATCGAAAATTACTTGCGCGTGTCAAGGCTTTTGATCGTCATTGCAATATGGTGTTGGAGAATGTAAAGGAGATGTGGACTGAGACGCCAAGGTTGAGCGGTGGTGGAAAAGGGAGACCAGTTAATAAGGATAGATTTATTAGTAAGATGTGAGTGTTCTGTACTTGGGTTGTCAATTGGACATTGCGCGAACGATGAGATCAAACTTGGACGAGAAACTACGAGTAGCAACCATAAATGATACCACGTATCAGTAAATGGAAGGTAGCATGGAGAACACAGCTAATACGATTCGATTCTTCCAGGTTTTTAAGAGGAGATTCCGTCATTCTAGTCCTTCTAAGCTGAACGGTCGGCATTCGAATTTCACGATATATGGAATGGATAGGAGAGGGGATCAGCTAAGGATCTATCAAAAAAAAAACACCGGACAGGATCTGTGGAGGAAATAAATGTGATAGCTGGGGGCGTTGTCAAGATCAACGCGCATACCAAATCAGCTTATAGCTATGAAAACAATGCACGCATGAGAAAGTTCATGCCAAATAGGGAACCAATTTTATGGAGAATAGGAATGTTAGATGAGAAAGAAACCCTCTTTAAATTTCAGATGGGATACATTGTTGGTGACTTGATATTGTGAAATGAATATCACTAGTCGATCATCTCTAGAGGTTAGTCTCATTTGTTTCTCTCTTCTACTTGTCTTCCACTTCTAGAATTATGATGAACAAATCATAGCTTTTTAACCCTTAATGGTATTTACGTACCTTGAAGACCAAAAAACAACTCTAATTTTTTCCTGAATGATTTTGATTCCTTACTACTTGTTCAATCACATGGTTTCCAAATCAAGCTGACATTTCAAATACAAACAGGTATTTAAAGTATAAGTTTCATAATGCATGTTGATTAAGCGCTACGTTACTAGCAAGGCGTAAAACTTTTAATCATCTCATACCAATTCATAATCCGAATCTCCAAGCCCAGCAAGCCCCAAGAAGAACTCACTCAATCCCCAAGCTCCAGGATCCGGAACCTGTTCGAAACCAGTACCGCCAATATACACTGTTCTTCCTAAACTAGCCTTCATTCCTTTTGTGCCCTCAGCACCTTTCCTGGATGCTTCAGCTGCTTTCTTGATATCACCTGTCTTGATTAAGGTCTCAACGAATGGATGTAAGGCGTCTACTACAGTGCGGTCTCCGGGCTTGGCTGGTGTGTACTTTGAAAGGGCTTCAGAAGCGGACTGCAATGCCTTTGCCCAAAATTCTGGCGTTGCTTGCCCGGTAAAAGCATTCTCGCGAAGAGCAGCTAAAAGGGAATTAAGGAAAATAGCATAAAGAGCTCCAGATGTACCATCCATGCTGTTTTCGACTACTTGAACGATCTTTGCAAGGTCGACAACAGCGTCACCGGATAAGTTCTCTTTCGAGATCGTTGAGAGCACAGCTGCACACTTCATAAGTTCGCTGTAAAATCATCAAATTGGAACACTTACCTTCAGCTCCTCTCTTGAGGCCAATGCCGCAATCTCCATCCCCAACAACCGTATCAAATCGAGTGACATCAGGCTCAGCGGCAATCATCCTCTGAAGTCCAGCTGTTAAAGCCGTCTTTGTTGTTGCCGGGTCCAATTTCAAACCGCTAGGTTTAACCACTTCTTCAGCACCGGCGGAGCCTGTTCTTGTTGCTGTAGATTTAGCCTCCCATGTTTCCTTTCTGATAGGGGCCGCCCATCCAGTTGCCTCAGTCGATGCATCCAATAACTGTAACATACTAGGTCCGCCAATATTGGTATTGACAACATTAAGAAGTGATATACTAAATCCAAGACCATTCAAACTTGTCATATAAGTTCCAGCAAGGATTCTGACCGGCTTGATGTTATAGGACTTTTCAAGCTGACTAGTAACTTCTGCTGTAATACCACCCAACTCCAGAACGCTAACACCGCCAAGATTGTTGACTAAAAGTACGACTTCATTCGAGTTGACATTCAAGAATGCTCGGTCCTTGTCTTTCGAATCCAATAATTGCGTAAGCATTCTCTTGACAAGTTCTGGTAGATCGACCTTGGCTCTACCACTACCAGGCTCATTATGAATTCCCATTCCAATTTCAACTTCTTCAAAAGCGAGACTCTCCTCGGAGTTTGGATTTGGAGGTGCTCGACCTGGAACATGAACATGGTCAAGGGAAGCTCCCACACTGGCAATATTATCTGCTGTTAATTTTCCAACCTTGTAAACATTCTCCAGACTAGCACCAGTGGCTGCCAATGCTCCTGTGATCTTATGTACCAATACTGTGCCAGCAATACCTCTTCTGCCAACCTTTCCAGCCTTCGCACGACCAACTCCAACATCATCTCCAACCACTAACATCTCGACCTTTAACCCCGCAGCCTTTGCTTTCTCTACTGCCATACCAAAATTCAACACATCTCCTGTATAATTCATGACCGTCACCAAGATTCCCTTCTCGGCATCAACTCTTGACATTACACATCTGCGAATTTGCTCGGCACTAGGTGAAGCAAATATACTACCTGCAACAGATGCTGCCAGTAATCCTTCACCAACGAATGCTCCGAAACTAGGTTCATGTCCACTTCCTCCACCTGATATTATAGATACTTGAGAAGCATGGCCAGGTCTTCTGTAGATGATTTTGTTCTCCTCGTCGAGGGCCACGGATGGATTGGTGAGAGTGAGGGCATGGAGAGCAGAATTCACTAAGAGAGTGGGATCATTGACAAAATGTTTTGATGCCATTGTTTGTGTCGTGGTTGGAGATAGTTGATAGGATTTGTTGGGAGATAAGGATGTAGAGTGAGATGAGGGTAGAGCAGAAGTGTAGAGTTATAGAGTAGAAGTAAAGAGTTGTAGAGTGAAGACCGATATACAGCAGATACGAGGAAGTAGAAGTATAAGAAATTGGAGGAAAGAAATAGAACAGAAGGGGCGAATGATCCTAACCAAGCCGGATTAAATATGGATTAAATATGCATACTTTTTCATCACCTCACTGCAATGTTTAACCGTTAAGCCAGGAGATCAACAAGCTGGAAGCGGGGCATTCATGTTAATGCGGGGTGGATGCAGGGATCCGCGACAGGGACAAATCCTTTCGTGGGGGGCACCAGCCGGCAAAACCGTGGGGGCACCAAAATCTTTTTCCGAACCACTGAAGAACCCCAATTTCATAGTTAGTTCGTTCTAAACTCAATTCAAGCTTCCATCCACCGGCGCGAACGATCGATCTCGCTCACATTAAGATAAACACCAATATGGCAATGTCACAAATCCCACTCGTAGCCGTTCCAGGCCAGCTGCTCGGTTCCAGTAGTGAATATCTTCCAGGTCCAGGTACACACATCCATTCCTCGAATCTCTATGCCTCCATCCTCGGACCCATCAAAACCGTAGCACCGCCCAAACCTAGCTATCCGCAAAAACGAGCCACGAAGATTACGCCTGCGGCACTTGTACCTCTCTCTACCGTCTCCATTGAAAGAGCTACGGTTACGGGAGACAAGGCGGAAATTATACCTGAGGTGAATAGCACGGTTTTATGCCGAGTTACGAGAATCACTCCGCGACAAGCGACAGTGGCGATATTGGTTGTAGGAGAGACGGTTTTGGAGGGGGAATGGCAGGGTCTGATTAGAGTGCAGGATGTCAGGGCTACGGAGAAGGATAAGGTTAAGATTTTTGAGAGTTTTAGACCGGGGGATATTGTGAGGGCTGTTGTGGTGAGTTCTGCTCTTGTTTTTTATATGACTATTTATAGAGACGGACTGCATGCTAACTGGGCAATGATGCTAGATTTCATTGGGTGATCAGTCAAATTACTACCTCAGTACGGCGAGAAATGAGTTGGGCGTTATTATGGCAACAAGTGAGGCGGGTAATGCGATGTACCCGGTTAGTTGGAAGGAATATAAAGATCCGGAAACGGGATCAAGTGAGAGTAGAAAGGTTGCGAAACCGTTTTAGAGATCATGGGAGGTGGGCGACAGGGTCTTTCGATCCCTGCTGTATGTACATGCATAGCGTATGGCGTCGAGGCGTTTATGGATATAAGGATATACCAATTCATACAAAGTTTATCACCTGGTATCTTTTGTTTCCTGTCTGTTGCTTGAAGCTCGAGTGCAGAAAAGCAGCATACATATAACCTGCTAGATAGAAATGAATAAGATGAAAGCAGAGGGAGTATGTTAGGAGTTGGAGCCCCTCAGCAATTTCCTTAGTCCGCGATACATCTAGATCGCCAAGCGTTACCAATATGTGCTATATGCGATATCTATGCCTCCACAATTTTTCGCAGGTGATCCTGTGCATCAAAAACCCATACAAGCATCACAACCAGTTCCCTACCCATACGGAGTAGATCCAAGCACAACCGCGAACCGCATGTCATTTTCCTCCAATTCACACTCAACCATCCTCATACCTCATAATCACAACAACCTATATCCGGCAAACGCACAATAAGTTTACATTTTTCTTTTTCTTTTGTACGGAATATGGACATATGATATGGTTGATAATTCCCGCATATCCGGGATCCGGAAAACCGTCTTCGCTTGTTATAGCCGGGTAGAGGCCCATTTTTGCTGATGCGCGTGCACAGTACAGCCGTAATTTGCTTTTGTACTCTTTTTGCTTATCCGTGTTTTTGGTTTTGTTTTTTTGTTTCCGGGGGTTGGGGTTGGGGTTGGAATACCTTTCTCCGTTGTGAATTGCTGATGAGGTGATGAATGGGGTTTACAAGGTTACATCGTTGAGCTCGAGAATAGTTCATGCTCATTCTAAGATTACCATTCTATTCGCTCTACTCAAGAACCAACCACCTCACAAGTAAGCTAGTGCTAGGTATTGATAACTCCTACAATCTTCACTAAGTAATTACTCATACATAATTACTATTAAAAACACTTTATTGGGCAATACACTCCAAATTCCCAAAGTCTCGCATTGAAAATACAGAAATGTAATGAACATCTTTCTCTCATAGCTTCACAGCTTACCTTTCTGTCTTCTCTATTCCCCCAGCTCTATTCTGTCCCATCAGCACGCATCAAAACCAAGTCTTCGGGCCAAATTTCTCTCCTTCGGGAAGTACCTTTCGCACTGCGGTGCCTGTCATGTCCATTGTTTGGAATACATTTATGTTTCCGAACCACTGTTTTTGTGTCAGTATTCAAGCATTGGAGTAGGATGAGATGAGTATCGGTTTGGTATATCAATGTACTTGAGAGATGTAATGGTGATTAGAGACTTACTTGGGGTGGTTTAGCATTGGTGAGTTCTAATGTGAAGAAGATGAGAAGAGTACAGAGTATTAGACCGGTATCTAGCGCGGCGGAGGTCACATAGTTCTATGGTTCAATAATCAGTTAGTATTCACACATTGCTACAGCCACCATAAAACCTGTCCCATACCCGAAAAGGACCTAGAATCAAAAACGGAAGACACACATAACCTTCCCACCAACCTCTCTATCTCCTCCTAATCCAATACTGGAATACAAATCCTACAAATCCCCAACATAGATAATCATACCCTGTAGCAGGAGGTATGAGTTGTAATCCTCCAAACATGACTGGGATAATAAGGTATTTAAAAGAAGAACTAGGGTATGCTCGACTTAGAATGTAGGTGAGAATGGGTAGGAGAGCTCCTAGTAGAAAATAATAAAGGAGAGGTTGGTAGTATGATTCTGGCGACGAGAAAATACGCGAGGGACCAATGGCGCCCCAGATTATACTCGTGGTGAAGAACGCGGAAGGGCCACGGCAGGTATAAGAGTTGGGCTGGAGAGGTGTGCAGATCCTGTTGGCGTGGTAAGCTGCACTTCTTGTTGATTCACGAACTTAGGAAAGAAAAGGGGAATCATCGATTGTTTTGGGATAAGTACTAACTCTGGTATACGCGAAATTGCCCAGTTCATTACAGCTATTTGTACAATGGATGACCAGAAAGCAGCCACACACTGCGCGACGAACATTGTTCTTGGAGGAACTTTGAGATAATGACCGAGTTTTAAATCTTGCAGGAGGAACTGGGCTTGGGTCATTGCTATATAGCCTACATTATTACTAACGAGTACATCAAACACCTTTTGAACACAAACTGACATGCATCATACAGTTGAGAAATGAATGAATAAATAAAAGACGAACCATAGGCCTTAAACAACATCGATGCTACTGGACGTCCAGGTAACATATATCCAATCACGAATTCCGTAAAGACGTTAAGTCAATTTGGAGACTGGTCGTGGCGAATATAATACCAATGGGTATTGTCCAGATGAGAGGAATAGCAATACAAACAATAAAAGCCCACCATGTTGAATGAGTATCTCAGAAAAGAATAACGATGGAAGAGAGTGCGAGCATGATAAGTCCAAGAGTGATGTACCACCTATACAAGTTCATCAGCATTGGTAAATTTATGCCTAATGACAGGGAATACAGCAAGCATGGAAAGGGAAAATAACAATCTGGGGCATCTTTATATCTCTTCATGAGTTTCATGTGAATATCATCTTCTTGATTCCGAGCTTGTTTCCATTGTCTCCAAATGGTTTTGCCTCGGTATCTACGTGAGATCGATCAGTTTCTCAAACGTCTTCAGCAACTCATCTCGTCAATTCGACACACAAAGTCGTATGAAAAATAACACTACTAATAGCCGCGAAAGAAAATCCTACCAAAAAAACACCTCAATCAGTAACCATATATCCAAAATGCATAAACATACTAAATAAACATCTGAAATCTTACCATAATTCAACGCAAAAGCGGTCGACAAAAAAACAGGCGAATATTTCCGATACAACTCTTCACTAAATTCTAGATTTGCATCGAGAATTCGACTGACGTTATAATTATGGTTTTCCCGTATTATCATAGCTATGTGAATCGTTCATGGGGAGATAATCCGCATACCATGTTCCGGTATAATGAACACCTAGCGAGCTAATGCTAACGAAAATGAATAGACCGTTTAAGGTATTGGCGATAGCATACCAGGGACTATTCTACCATTAGAATGAGTTGAGACTTTTACATAATTTTGATACTGCAGATGTATCGTTAAATCTTGTTTAAGAGAATTTCACTCACGGTATCAAGGGCGAAATACAATATCCAGAAACAACAGTCCAATCAAATGTAATATGGATTAAACCCAAACCCATAACACCGCCGAAAAGCTGATTGACGACGGGATTTTTGGGTGCTCTCCAGCGGGCAAATGTAAAATATGAGAGACCTTGGAAAATCCAACCGGGGAAGAAATACCATATGAATGATCCTGGCGGAATAAATAGATTAGTAGCTGTTATTAGCTTGACTGAAAGGATAACATACCGCTCATGATATACATAAACCATTTACATTTCGAGATACTCCAATCATTTGTTTCAGCTGGATTTGACGGACTACGGTCACGCAAACTATATCCCATACAACCGAGCAGGAATTAGTGTACAGTATATACTCAAATATCGATTCTCGTTACTGGAGATATACACATCTTCTCTTGTGCACGGCGAAACTTCCCAAATCAAGCACAGAGAAAAAAACCAACTTACGCATACATCAACGCACAATTAACCAAATCACTCGGGCAAATCATCGCCGCAGGCCAAACCAACCACCTCCGAACCCCCCCCCCAAACCAAAACCGAGCATTTGATTCATGACCACAAAAAGTAATTGGAAAGTCAACCTATCCCGCACAACAATTATTAGCTCAACTCCGATTCCAGCTTCTCACCCGCACCCAAGCAATACGCCTCCCCTTTCACAATATCACCAAGTAAACAAAATGCTAGAAAACTCATACCCGAATTTCTGCCCATAAAACACTTCCCGCGAAATAAGTATATCAGTAGCATAAATCGAAGCACCAGCATACACCGCATTAGCCATCACTACAACAATAGTATGTTCCTTCATATTCCACTTCCCCTCCTTTAACATAATTTTCCATATTCTAGGACCGTAGAACCAGAAATGAATGTCCCAGCTATAGTCGGGCAGGAGAAGATCCTATCCTTTGCCTAGAGGCCAGGCAATTAGTTGGACGCACTGCGGTGTGATATTCGTGTTGGTAGAGGCATTTCCACGGAAAGATCAATCCCAGAGTGAACGTATACATATTTCCACTCCTGCGCCAGCAAAACTCTACCAAATCCAAAGAAAGAACTCACAGCAGTAGTAATAGCAATACTGGGACTCCTCAAACTAAACAAACAATTAATCCCCGCCCCTACCGTCGTAAGTGCCAACCCAATACACCAAGCTCGGATCGTGTTGCAGGGAAGCGACGCATCATCTATTATTATGTTTTAGCTTTAGCTTTAGTCTCAAACTTGTGCTACAGTCTTGCGCTTTAGTCTAGCGCTTTAGTCTAGCGCTTAGCACATAAGTACATATTTATTTCCCGCCCAAGCTTGAATATAAATATTATATATATATATGTGTGTGTGTGTGCCTGTATTACGCACCGCGGCGCGCACTTGCGGATAAGGTGAGTTTAACAAGATATCGATAGATGGTTCTGAAGATTTCTCAGGGTCGGGAGAGAGTGATGCATGAGGTTGGAGCGCACGGATAGGGATAGGAAGAGGTAGATTTGGATCAAGAGAGGAATGCGGAGAAGGGGATATGAGGGGTACTGGAGTACTGATCGTGAACGACTGGGACTTTTCGTCGTTATGAGATGAACTCTCATCCCTTTTATTTTTCACATTCGGGACTTGGATTTCAAGCGATGAGTAAGAAGTGAAAATGGCATCGTGTCACTATTTCCATCTAAACATAAAAATGTATTCCTACTTCACAATCGAGACTTTGAGATTCAAACATTCTGGGAGTTTGCCAGAATTTGCTAATTTACTACCTATCAACACAACCAATCTCCCACTCTGCAACAAAAACCATCTAATCACAAAAGAAAACGCCAGCGCTATCAATTGTGTACAATATGAATAGATAGCTAGCTGAGCTTAGCCCACTATACTACTCTACATCGAGAAAAGTACAATGAAACCTCCAACACAAGATCTTGTGGGAGGGTTCAAAGGGCACCAGAAAGGAAAGTAGATATGCGATTCTTGCTGCTTAAAAGTGCGCCAGAGGAACTTCCCGAGCTGAAAATTCTGAGACAGTGTGACACGGATACTTTGGCAAATGGTGTTGATCGACGACCGGACTGACACATGATCTGATTAATAAGATAAGTGCTATTCATGCACGTCATTTATTTATCAGATCCAGCCGCATGATATCGTGAATTGAATCATATGTATTCAGTCATCCTGTCACGGTTTTGGGAGTGAGGGATATAAATAAAACGAACTGTGATCTTCTCATCTATCAAAAATTAGAGATATTCTATTACCCAAGAATAATTGGGCAAGCCTTACTATCATCAACAAGAAACCAAACAAATTTATCCAGCCTCCATTTCCCCATTTCGTCCACCCGCAGCGTCGTAACTCAACAGAAAGCACAATCCCGGAAGATCCGGATCTGCAAGTGCCATCGGCCAGTAGCAAAAAATGCTCGCAAGGCAAATTTCTCACTGCGTCGGCGATGTAGTAAATGAGGAAGAGAACGAATGGACGATGTAATAAATGCACCCATTGATTTACAATCACACACTTAACAATCATACCTTCTAAGATCGTCATCAGCTCCGAAGCTCCGATTCGGACTCCGCGGCGGAACCCGCCTTATTCTCCCGAGATTCACATGCACGCGTCATTAAGACTCATTACTCCTTTTGCGGAATCGGGACGCAATTCTATTCCTCCGCTCGCAATGTGAGCCTCGCAAAGCTTAATTTACTAATAAAACCTATTGGTTCCTTATGAAGTTATGCGACACAATTGTTCACAGAGACTTTACCGCCATGCAGTCAGCTTAGGCCCAGGTACATGGGTTTTCTTTGCTGCCTTGTCGCCTCGCTAACTAACAATAGAAAGGGCTGTTCTGAATGATCTTCCTGCAGGACTTTATCCAGAGGCAGTTCGGTTAAATTGGCTGTAAGCAGTTTAGTTTTCGACCAAAGGCTAGATCGGAGGGATGAATGCAAGGCGAAGGAATAGTTTTACGTAGTAGGAGATAGGCTTAAACGATGATGATGGGGAAACACGTTACTGACCACTATGTTAACATATGAGGCATCATTTAATGCATGCTATGCTCATCGATATCGATGAAAAGTGGGATGCACGAGCCCCGGTAACATTTTAGCGTAGGATTTTTCTGCAAAGCGGTCTGCCGATGAAAATCCTAGAGAATCGTTGTATTTGTGCATCGATAAGCAATACCCTTATCAGTCAGACAGTTCATGCAATGATACTTAACAGTTACATTGATGCACGCGGCAGACTCGTGGGGCGGTCCAAGCGTGGGGTTCTCAGCCCTCGTGGGAGTCTTCGCCGTCGCATGACAGGAGACTTCAGAATGTTATCTGCTTGACAGAATGAAATGGAAGGAGATTAAACTTGTATCCCAGACATGAGATAGAGAACTTCCTCGGCCAATAGTCGTGTATTACACCGAGTCAATGTCTGTATCAGCCCTATAGCCATTTCTTACACACAGCAGCGATCACTTGACCATTGATCTAAGCCTTAAATAGTATTACCCCGCATTGTCCCGCAACCATCGATAGAGAAAGCCACGAGATGGGGAAATCCAGCCCTCAAAGAGTCATAAGGCTCTGTCCATGATGATGCAGCCTCTAGGATAAACCATACTGCCTTATCGCGATCGAAAGATTGTACTTCAATCTGCAAAGCCGCCAAAGGAAGATTTAAACTTACGTCAACGATTCTCAGTAAATGGAAGGCACAAGTCAAGGAATGTGGGAGTAACGCCATTTCTAAGGAATGAAACACACGACACTTCTTACGATGGGATCATTCCAAGAATGCATGTAAGGTATTTGCTCGTTTGCCTTCATTTTCAACTCTGTGACTTCATCAAGAAGGAGGGGGTAGATCGTAGATGCAAGTTCAGTAATCAACAACAGCTCATAGATTGTATTGGCGCGCTTTCCACCCGGGAATAGATGACGCAATAAGGCTGAATACTCGGGTAAGCTTTGAACCCTAAGAGGAAAATGCTTTAGAAACAAGAACATTACCCGATGGCTTCTAAAAGCGTGGAAGAATCAAAAGCCTTGCAGAAACGTGGTGTTTACATGTGAAATGTAACATCGATCCGTCTAATCGGACCTCTTTTTCCTTCGTCGTAAAACAGGAAACATGCGTTTGAAAAAGCCTTCAGCATTGCCGGGCATCTATCATCTTGCAACGAATAGACTCACTCGGAGAAGGGTAAGCCTGCGTGCACATATGGAGGCTTTTATGATGAAGAAGGCTGGATGGATGAAACTGACGAAGCCTTATATACATGTAACCGTCATGCATTGATTGACCTGCTTCCAAGGTCATACGAGCAGACACCACTCCGACCGCGGAACTATAATAGAGGCTTCCGCAGCTTATTCCTGTCAAATCGCAAGGCTGTAGCGTGTGATGATGAAAGACAGGCATGTAGCAGAACGAAACCTAAGAGTTTGCCTATCGTAAATGACCCCTGAAGACACTAGTCGGCCAGACATCGATGACAACTGCGATGAAAGAACCGCAGACACATTCAATATATGCTTAAACGATCATATACAGCGAGGCGGTGAAGCTGTCAGGCTACTATCCTGTGTACGTGTGCAGCAATAATTAGGGACAATGAGTAAATATAAGCTCGAGTCCGAGTTGTCGTACGGAAAAACCACATGTAGTGGATTGATTGATGGATGAACAATTAAAAGGAGAGCAATGCTATTGAAGAAGATTTTTTTAGCTGTATTGAGCAACCGTCATTATTTCTAACTACGTAGAGGAGAACTTTTGGCTGGTAATGATGTGGCACAACCTTTCAGCTATAAATTCAGCCACCAAATATGACATGACTGGTTTAGGACAAATGTGTGCTACATCGGTTAAGTAGCATTTAACCGACACCGATGAATCAGCCGAAAAGTACCGAACTTTGACCGTTGGTTTGTGCTTCGGTCAGGGACTCGCTTTGGACATTCCGTGATACGGGGCAAAATCGTTTCAACGGCGGGTGTCGCTATGGGCATCCACTCATTATCCTCTAAAATTTCATAGCCAAACAACCGAAGTCTGCCTTTCTTTGAATCATGCTATGTAAGTTGCTTCTGATTGTTTTAGCAACTGAGCACACAATCGCCCCTGTCAAGTCACTCGAATCGTTTTCACCAAAAATGCCAAAACCAGTAAACACATGCGTTAAATTCATCAATCATGATTCTCATGGCTGCATTACAATTGAAGTAAAAAGATCCCAGCCTCGACAGCCGAGGATGAAAAGGAGAATCGAAAATGAAAAACGTATGGCTATGAGAGGGCAGGATTTGATCCTGCCAGCATGCTCAAACTTGGAACCATTAATGAAAGTCCAATTTCCCATCCTATCACCAAAGGAAAGACTACATGTTATTAGGTTACCTAAACTTTTGTACCGTGTTTATTGTCCATAGGAGACGTAAAGTTGTCCGTTCGAAGGCCATTCTCCATGCATTGAAAAATTTCCCCATTTCACGAAGGATGTTGAACTGCCTTGCGCGATGAAATCTACACATTTCATCAGGTACAATGCTACCGTGAGTTTACTATGGCACATACCATCAATTTGATAGTGTTCCGTTTATCATTCTTAAATCGGTTTCTCTTAGTATCGTAGAGCACTTGAATTGTGATAGTATTTTGCAGTGATGGAGCTCCTCCATGCTCTCATTCGTGAGTGGACGTATTTGCCGCAAGCATCGTAAGCGATGTTATGTCTTCTTCAGCATCAGGATAAGCTTTTACGGATGGCCAACTTCTATTAGCATCATTAGTACTCGCCGAAGCAAAGGTCACCGACTGGGACTCCATGAACTCCAAGTCCGCATCACTACTCTGAACAGAAAATTCTGGCTTAGAAACATCGAAGTTGATCCATGGACCGGCATCAGCAATACGGCAAGCTAGCCATAATATGCGTTCCTTTCGTTGCTCGAACATAGACGGGAGCTCATGATATTTCTCCTCTTCATCAGTCTTTTCGTTAAGAAACCATTTTTCAGGGAAGTATTTTTCCGCCCATAGTAACCCGCGAATTCCAAAGTCTTCTGGAAAGGGGCGGACATCATCTTTCTCTGGTAGTGGGAACTTCTTATCTTCAATGCGGCCTAGAGACTTGCAGGACTTAAGTAAGGTATTGAGCATAATAGCCAGAGATTGCCATGGGAACGCTGGTGCCAAAAGGTCCATCGCGCCTGAAAAATGAGACATACGGAACATGAAAACAAGGGAGACATGAATGAAAGGAAGGACATTTGGATCGCCTATTCTTTGCAATACTATCTCCAACGCAGCATTGCTAAGGTTCTGCGCATGTTTGAATGTCGTCATGGAGGGAGAAGATTCATCCAGAGCATCATCCATATCAGCGTCAGCTGCCTTTTCTTCCGAAGAAGGCGCGATAGCTTTCATAAGGGGATTTTCTTTGGACGCAAATCCAAGCATTGCAACGTTATTGGAGACGGCAATATGACAGCCCTGTTCCATGAACTTCTTCGTTACTCGGCCGATATGGCTGTCAAGTAGTGCAAGAAATTCTTGAACCGCGGGTTCAAACCTTTCCATGGTTCTGTTTGTAAATAAATGCCCGTGAGCTCGAATAAATGCAGTATCCAAAGGCGGCAATCGATACTGACCTTGCCCATTCTCAGCATTAAGGACAGGGTCGAAGAGTGTAAGTATCGATTCTCGTGCAGACGTAAATGGCACTACAACACATAAAGATTTTGCATAGTAATACAGTTGTTGAAGAGCATTTGGGCGTGCTAGAATGGCAAGGTGATGATACAGCCTACCGGTTGTAGGGGCTTTATCGGAAGCCTTCGAATACCAATGACGTGCTACACCGGTCCAGACCTCTCTATCTCTGATATCGTCATCCTCAATGGCCATCCTATATCGTCCTAGATCTCCCAAGCACTCAATCCAAGTATCTTCAAAAGCGGGCACGGTCTCATACAACAAAGCCATCATCGAATATGCCAAGTATATGAATGCAAGCATATGATCAAGTGAGGCAGGAAGTCGATGTCTGAGAAGTTCCAGGAAGGAATGAATCCCATGGCGCCACATCCTAGCAGGCATAGCATATTTTGATGCTAAGCGACGAAGAGGCGCGCTAGCCGATGGATGCTGGGAAGCTAAAAAGAAGTCGTGATGCTCGTGAAGTAAAGTACGGTGCAAAGCGATGAGAGCTTGCCATTGTTCATTGTTGAGCTTCGGTTGGGTTGGAGGATTACCTTGTGTAAGTGTAGCTTGCTTATTATCAACTTCAATGCATTTGGCTTCGACCATTACAAGACCAGCATATATGCCTTTGACCTCTGCTACGAGTTGATCTTGGGAGATGGGTCTCGTCTCCGGTTGCAGAATAATGCTGTACTCTTCACTTTGGGATCTTGATTCAGTTTCTGAGACTGTCCTGTTGGGTAAGATTACAGACGGTGTGTTGGCCTGAGTATGGTGTTGCTGCTGAGGTTGTTGATTTGCATGGAGTGCTGGTCGGGAGGAAGTCTGAGGTGTAGATGTTTTCAAAGGTCTGCGATTAGCTGGTTTGAACATCTGAGCCCGAGACTTTGAGGCTTGTGTGGAAGCGATGTTGGAGGGATCGAAGGATGATCTTGTAAATGGCGAGTCTTGATCCGGAGTCCACAGTTGTCCCTTTGTAGCCTGTCGCCGAGTCTCGGTATCCGATACAGGAATTTGTCCAGAAGTTGGACGAGCTAGAGATCTTCGCGGCGGAGGTGATTCTGATTCTTCGCGGAATGGTGATGCTGAACCTGCTGATATACCATCTCCTACAGCAGCTCTCTTGCGCGGCTTGTACGCTGTGGTTTCTTCGTCCTCCATGGTGTTGCCTTCATTTGGTCCTAAGTTCAGTGCCTGAAGGCTAGAAAGCGATCGACTAGGTTGGGTAGAGTTGAGCGGCCGCTTAGATTGTAAGTGTAAAGTTGGAGTGGTTGAGCCAGCTGCGGGAGTCTCAATATTTGAAGGTTTCCGGGGCTGTGAATCATCTTTTGTCGTTCTTTGTACTTCCAGTCAGCCTTACTTTTCCTGGAAAGGTAACAACAGCCTTGCATATTTCGTCCCCACAGATACAATTGTCAGCGGATCAGACTAACCTCTTCAGAGCACTCTCACTCTCGTAATATTTGCGGAATCGTTTAAGTTCGTCTTGGTCCGTTGGGAATTTATCCCGATGGTCCTTTTCTGCATGGTTCCACAAGTCGGTTTCGGAAAGGCATATCTTGCGCTCCAGGCAGAATATACAGGACCAGGACTGAGTTGTCTTCGTATTTCGGCGCTGATGCTGTATCCATAGATCGCTTACATCCGCTGTTTTCTTCATTTCTAAATTTTTGTCAGCGCCATGTCTAATCATGATAATTCGGGGCGAGGCTTTCAACGTTAACATACCGAGTTGGATCTGGAGTTGAAGTGTGGACTGATAATAAGTAGTACATGCGCCTGGATTTTAAGGTTCTGCTGACAAGTGTGTGTTTATGCGCTGATTGAACGTAAATTTAATATTGATTGTATGAATAATCCGTGAACAACTGAAATGTATCAATGGCATTAAAAAGTAGAACCTTCTTGATTCTGCATTTTGAGAGTCTGCGAAGTCCTCTATATATATATATTTGTGAGTTACATTTAATTGTTTTCAACTGGTAAGTTGAGGCTCCTTCGGCTAAATGTGAGGCAAGGGAAATGGCGAACCATTTTGCAACCCATTATATTCGATGGATAGACCTCGCTCCATCTCGCTCCATCCATATCGGCTCACCGAGATTCCAGGGGTTTTATATTCCAAAACAACGGAGTTGACATCATAAGGCCGATTATTGGATATACATGCATACACACGTATATAAAAATGTATATAATATATAAAGAATATAACAAGAAAGATAGACATATACAAAGTAAATGCGTATTTCTTTGGAAGTTTGTCAAACTCACTGCTCTGGTCTTTATTATGCAGGCAGGGGTTGAGGTTTTCATCTATCTACTCCAGAACTTCAATATTGCTATTACTGTAGCTACCAAATATTTAACCCAATATTCCTTCCGCATCTAGACACAGTAGATATGCAGTCTTCTTACGACAAAGCTCATATAAGCATAAGCAGATATTTCCAACTCAAGTTCCATCACCCCCAAAATTTCAAACCTCCACATGCGGAAATTAATTCAGCCTTAATAAGTCTTAGACAAACTATTCCCCTTCCTTTAAGTCGTTCGCCAGTGTTCTCCAAACCATATACGTGTAGTTCAGAATTCCCTATCATGAAATTGACATGAGATCTCGAGGTTCAGCCCCATCGCCTCACATTCCACATCTATTTCCTTCATCATGACCTCTTTTCCCTACCTAGGTAGGTACATATTGACATTCACATTCACATTCACCCCCCTCGACATCTATTCACTGGTTTACGAAGTGAGCATGAGTATAGGACAGCATGAAGCCGGCCCTTATAAATACTCTCGCGCTGTATTCTAAGCCAAATGCTATAGTCTCAGCTTTCTAGCTATCTGCTGATTCTACCGGTCATTCATGATCACTCGTCTACTCTCCTTTCTAACCACCTTACCTACGCACCTCATTTCCTGTCAATTTCGAAAAAAAACTAACTCGCTGGGAACCAAGCCCATTCCTTACCAGTGGCTGTAGAAGTTGACTGATCACAATCGGGGAGGATCAAAATGATCCACGACACCTCAATGGCGGTGCATGTTTCAAGAATTCGTAACAATTTCATTTCCTCCATTAAAGACCACGCATATAGCACCTTCAAAAACACGTTGAACAGACCGTTAATTTCTTAACGCTATTCTTTACGGAGTGTAGCGCTTAAAGATTTAGGCATATTGATGGTAGAACTATGCGCAATCGGAATGAGTCTTTACCGAATTCTTGCCTAGTGTCCAAATTACCCACATATGCGGACTCTGAAATCCTAAAACGTTTTCCAGCCTCCAGGTGACTTATTTTCCTACAAAAAAAGGAGCCTTGAAACTTTAAGATTGTTGCTTTTCTGCCTTCAATCCTCCTTTAATGCGGAATCTAAGCGGGTGTCTTTGTGAGCAAGTTGCAGCACAGATCACTATACAAACAATGATCGAAAGTTTAATTCAAATTTCGATTTCACCGCTTCATAGCATTGAGCTTTTAAATGCCTCGTTCTGCGCTGATAAATCCAGCAAGGTACTCCGTATACATGAAATACTGCAGTTCGGTATCGGACATTCCAAAAGTTACGTTGAGGGGCTAGTATATTAAACCTGCGTTAAGGTCAACAGCATGACTGCATTTTCTTACTCATTGTGATGAGGGATCCTCCTTGCTTTCAAATCCTACGTACTCATTGTTTACCGAATTACTCCTTTCCCCGGCGACGTCAAGGCTCATAGGCATCAGCTGAGTCTTAAATATACTTGGAAGCGCGCGCGGCTTAGTCGTCGCTTTCAGATGCACAAACTGATGATTCACAATAAAAGTCCAAGGCGAAAGTCAACGAGTTTTATCTAGCTTTCATAAGCAGTCTGACGACGACATTGGGGCTGGGGACAAAAAGATGCGAATAACCCGGCATTGGCATATGCATAACTTCCAGCTACGGCCTTGCGCAAACATAGAATAATTTCATTTGCGAGTGCAAACATTCGTTTCATGAAAATGGAAAATGGAAAGTTTGGAAATTGGCGAAGGGGGCCCTACAGGTTGCCGCGCTTTTCATCGCGACAAACGCGGGTCAAGCATATAAATCTGTGCACATCAACCATAAAGCGCACGGGACTTCTGCACATACCCTTCAGAGCGAAGTTAATGTCATGCTCTTATCCGTTAGACAAATGACCAAGCGAATCGGTCCAGCGTCACGGGAGGCTATTTTGTTTGTAAGCATCCCCTATTTTTGTTTCGCTTTCTCTTCAATATCTCTCAAAAGTAGAAGCCTGGCGTTTGCCTTATGGCAGGAAGATGACTTTTTTCTAAGAATCTCATGATGGTGGTATGAGTGGTACGAAAATGAATCTCCTGTTCTCTCGGATCTAAGCGGCCGGCGAAACCCGAAAGGGGCGAAGAGGCGAGTGATCCTACTCCTACTGTACTAGAATTGCGTTACGATTCCTTTACTTCGTTCACTTCTGCTTCCGCTCGTTTCCCGCTCGTGTGATTAAATGTTCCGCCTATGCCCGCTGGAAAATTCTCTACATTTATAAGGAGAATGTTCTGGCTGACGGGAACAAAATTTGAGATTATTGTGAAAAGTTCGTTTGTTGAAAAGAAATCCGATTGGCTTATGCATCCAATGCTGGCATCACAATGGTTCACAGCCGAGTGGTGGCTGTACACGCTTGAATCGTGGCAAAAGGCTGTGAGATTATAATTAGTAACGATCTTGCTGAGTTTTCTTGGATGCATCAAAAATTTCGAGTCCCATCTATACTCTGTAGACACATTGGCAGTTGTAATCAAATCGGCTTTGCACCATTCAAAATACCTGAAACATCAAGTTTTCCACTTGGTCGGCAATATTGTGGCGTTCCGCCACACTGTAAGTACGCCCCTGAATTGCACGGAGCTGATCATGACGGAGAGAAACTCAAATTTCCACAACCAATGTTAGCCTTCAAACTGGAATGTTACGGTTCATTGATTAAGAATAGTTACCACGCCATTTGAAGCTTGGAATACTCATCGCTCTTGCCTTGCTTCTCTTGTCATGGTGATGACTGGTACACCAAGCTCCAGTTGTCTAGATCTAGATTGCTTGATTGCCATCGGCGGAGATGCCAAGCTTACCGAATACGCAGTACCCTCTTTTACGAACGTTGGTCCCGTCAATTAATCATGTTCTCAGGATGCCTGTTGTCGAGCTCTGAAGCTTGGATGACCATGGGCCCCGAAAGGCTGATGATAAGCATGTCATTATCATCGTCATTCGGATACTTGTGGTCCAGTAGATTAAGTATGACTAAATTTTGCCATCCAATATCGCCGTGCTTAGGGTACTACCGGAGATCATATCTGTCCAGTACGACGTACCTCATCCAATTGATTCAACTTGCTAGACTCGGTGATGAATCAATAGCGCATCACCACTCCTTCAGGCTCATCTAGCGTGTTCGCCTTCGCGGAACCGGTCACTTTGATATGCTGACAGTGGTTGAGGCGCTCGTTCCGGCTAGCAGGAAATTGCAATGAAATTGGCATTGGTAGGCAACAGCATGCTTTGCGTGTAGACGCCGGACGGTGTATGAATCCAAGGACTACACGGAGGCTTGTCTCCTTAACATCAGACTGCCCTCGGTGTTATTCCTCGGTCAATCCATAATTCTTATCCCAAATTGTAAAGTAGAAATCGCGGTTAACGTGGTTGGGAAATTTGGCGGCACATGACTCATCCAAGCAGTGTGATGAGTACACATTCTCAGATACCCACTGTACGAAATCTCACACTGGGGCTTTGTGCGGATGCGCTGGTGAAGACAGCAGATATTGTGAGACGAAAATGATACGGAAATGAGGCTGGTCGGAAGATACGAAATGCATTGGTCCGTATGAGCCGCTGTGAGATTTTGGATGTAGGCTTTGCTGCTCCTTGTGATTCTAACAACTCGGGCTAGAGATTCTCTGGTCAATAACAGTTCTGGCCTTGATATCTTGAATCTGTCTGGTGTATTGGATTGTTCGAAATAGTGAATCCATTGGAAGGTCAAACATGCTTAGTGATGGGTCGAATTTCGCGTTTCGAGACTTAAGCCTATTGGATAAATTGCTGGTAGTGATAAAGAGCTTCAAATCACTAGAGTGCAATGTACTGACACCAAATGTACATCTTTCCAAATTGATAAAAAGCAAAGAGCCAACGGCATCACAACGTCAGCCGGGTCCCATAGCATTGACGGCATTTGTCTTGTTCGCGCAGATGATATGTCCACCTTGCTATAATTTGATGCCCAATCATTACTATAGGGAGCCTTTCGTTTCTTGGGTAGCATAATAGAAGTTGTCTCGCCTTTGTGAAACAGATTTGCGGATATATCATGCTTGTGACTTTAAATAATAATGCGATAAGTGACAGAAAAGGTAAGAAATTGCCCATGGCCCATATAGCTGGAAATAACTATGGAATTCAATCCATGTTGCCGAAGATATGGATTATAGAGAGTTAGATATCCTGTTGAAGACACATCTTTCTTACATAGAGTATCCCCTTAATTATACTTACCCCCACGATACTAACTTGCATATACACGGCATAGCAACTTCCCGCTGGCGCTACCGGTTCCCAGGCCGGTGGGCGCCCAGCATAACATCATTCTGATACTACCGCACCAATTTCTGGGTCAGTCTGGTGGCCAAATATGAAGTATGGCTAGGCTCTGCTAATTAGAAAGTTTGTACAAGAGAGGCCACCTTGTGTACAACGTGCACTATAGTACAGAACCACTGCATTGTCCCTGGTGAGACACACAGCTCGGGAGAAACTAGACAAACATGTTGTCGCTAGAAAAGACCTTAAGCAGTCCCATCCGTTTTGCCTTGCGCGATAACCATCGGAAAAAGACGTGAATTGCCATTACTGGTGCCGTGCATTAGTCTTATATCCGGCAAATGTTGTATGATATGGGGTTGAAGAGGACAATATGTAGAACGTTGGACCAGCCAGATGTCGTACGGCTTCAAATTATTGACGCAATAGTCATCGATTGTGACCCCAAGCAGCGGAATATATGGATCGTGTGATATTGGCGAGAATGAACCCAGCGGGGCTTTTATTGCACTTCCGTAGTCATCTGTAGTATTGTGATAATTCTGTCCCAACCCCATCCAAATTAGTCATGATTATATAAGATATTTTTATAATTTAATGAAATATCACCTGAATATCATACGATTTTTGAATAAGCAGACTGTAACTTGAACTAGAATTTTGAATTCAAACAGAACTGTTATTTTTCAATTCAGATAATACATAAAAACACATGATTCGATTTTCTTGGAACATTAAATAATCACGTGATGCTCCAGTTTCACAATGCGAATTTGAAAGTTTCGTGGCTTGTCGAGCATCTTTTCTAGCCACAATAACCTCGCCACTCATCACCACTACAGACACGGTCTAACATTAACCCGACCAATATCTCTTTGATAAGATCAGGCTGAGGAAATATGGTGCATCATGTGATAGATCCACGAACATTTTATGGTAATAAAGTAGATTTTTTGTACTGGCATCTCCATTTCTGTGCAAGGGCCAATCCTTTAGATTTATATTGCATTGCTGTTAAACATTTCTACTTCTACGAATCGTTGTGCTACCTGACCTCCTGACTCTTGATGCGTGACTCGTGCTCATAGCCGTGCCAACGGGACTAGATGCCAAGGCAAGCATAAACATTCTTCAATCGTCTACACGCTGGTCTCATCTCTGTACCACATCAAAGTCGATGATTGATGTTAGGTTGCATGTGTTTTATGTATTCTTTGTCTCATTCATTCATCACTGCCTACCGACGCTACCGAGCCCTATCCAACGACTTGATATTGGGGAAGAAGAGGAGATGTACTCACTTCGAAAGTCAAAGTCAAGCTGCTTCCTATTCTTGCATCTAAGTGTCTACTTGTCTTTGCTCCCAGAATACAACTATGGCGCCATGTCTAATAAATCCCAGTATTTGGTGCTCTTTCAATGTCCTTCGTGGACTATGATGGCGGGTTTCATAAGTTATGTTTCCGGGCTGAAAGGGTAGGATGTATTTTTGGCATGAATTGCGACATGATAGTATATTACATGTCAAGGCTACGAAAAATTTCCTACGACAAGCTTGTTATCTCCCTCTGCGTCGTAACAGTCGAAGTTGTCTACCTCGTGTCCAAGCGGCTGTGAGGTTCTTGCTCTGTTCAATCTACGATCTAACCGTTAGAAATCCTCTCGTTGGATAGTAAACTAGTACTCGAAAAGCTTATGATTACAGGAAGTTTCCTGTTTGCTAAATTTCTAGTATCTAATGCTTGATCGCATACACAAGCAAGTTACAATAGCAGCTGGCTGAATTTGGGATTGAGTAGCCACAGTCAGTACCAGTCGGGTGCGGGGACTGGGTACCAACAACCTTTTACACGGTATGGAAAATCTCGGAAGCTCTGTGCAATTCTGTGCCTAAAGCTGCGGTATTGAAGGTTTCTCCAATATCAGGATATTGGACATTTTCTTCACACCCACAATCCCTTCTCTTTGAGGTGGCCCTATACTGACCACTTCCTCTCTCCAAGTGTGTTTTTTAAGGCGCATCAATCAAGAAATCTTCTACATTGACGTTCTTGGGTTTGTTGATTAGTCCAAAGTCTCATCGGAAGGCTGATTGCCTTCCTTTCTTTCAGTGTCAAATGATTGGCAAATTTGCCTCGCGACACCTCATATGGCCCACATTGGGCTGAAATCAATGAGAGCGGGCATAAGTCTGCCAACACAGTCTCAATACATGCTTTGCAAGCTTTCTTGCTCTAGCCATCATCGCTACTCGCAGTCTTCATAATGTCATCACCGCGCAGCCCTCTTACCGCTAGTCCGTGTTGCTATTCAGACCAATCATTCTCAATGCTGCGTCTGCATGTACAGCTTTAATCATGCAATTGATATCGCCTCAGAAGCTCATTTGGAGAGAATTTTTATGAATCTACACGTATAATAACTATGCTATGCTATTCTCCACCAGCGCGCTCACAGGCTATGCTGTTTTGTGATATGAGCCGCCTGTAATGGTACTTGCCTTCGGTGAGTTAAAGCCTCGAGCAGCATATCATTACCTCCTCAAGATTAACAAATCGCTAGGTAAAAATAACAAGGCATAACGTAGGTTTCTAAAACGAAGCATCTCAGAATTCTAATGTTATTCAAAGAATATCTTGATCAGCAACTGAAGCACGATTTGAGTAACCTACGATTTTTGATTGCCGAGAGGTGTCCTCAATGTCTTCCGCGTCACGAGCACATGACATGCACATGATCATTATGATTACAGTCTACGGCCAAAAGCACCTTAGACAGCCATGCATGTTTGGAGCCCTGGCAGCTTGAAATAGCTTGCCACATCTAAGGATGAATACTAATGCTAAACACGAAGCGTCTCCGATGTAACTCAACCGGCACAGAACCAATATAAGAAGCAGCTTGCGGTGAGGCAACCAATTCTAGATCCGCTTTCAATGTTTCTTTGGGCATTATGCCTAAAATCTGCATAGGCCGTCCGCTTAAATCAACGGAAGTAACGATGCCTATATTGGTTCACTTAAATCCTTGCCGGTTTTCGGAAACACGAGCCTTATCAAAGTGCTAATAGGCGATGAGCTGTTAAAAAAATTGTAGCAACCTACCAGGAAGCTATTACCACAATTTGACGACCATTCTCCATAAAAACCATACATTTTGATTGTATAAGCTGCGAAAATACATGGCTCGATGGCCGATTGAATGGTAGGTTAAGATTCGGTTCGGCTGAGGTGTGATTCGCAGCCCTAATTTGGTAAAGGGTCCAATTGGTTGCCAGTATTCGCCCCGAATCATTTTACCTCAACATAAACAAAAATGTTGTGCAATGATAGGAAAATCTGTGCGACCTTTCCACATACATATAATTGCATGTGCAAGCTGCCATGCCTCGAGACCAACAGTTTCATGTTAAAAAAGCGGGGGTAAAATCAGGCGAAGGAATTGTTATATTTATTGATACTATTGGCACAGCCAGGATTAAATATCCCAGACAAGTCACACAATATCACCCGTGATGTGCTGCAGGATATGTACAACAAAGTGTCTTCCCGATAGAAAAGGACGTCGGTGAATGTTTTGGAGGAATTTCAATCAGAAAAATGGCGAGGGAAAAAGTCAGGCAAATGGCTTTGGTCGGGACGGCCCCTGTTTCTTCTAGGAGGATGACTTCAATGACTCAAACATAATTCTGGAATAAGAAGCTGATAAGGGTCCCCAGACGCCTACAATTTGCCTTAACGTGCAACAGCCCCGACCCAAGAAAGCAAGTGATAGCAATACACCTAATTGGCACGCCAATTAATGATTTACGGATCAAGGCAAGGCTCCAATACCTAACAGCTAAGTTTCACCACGACATGAGACTCTTTCCTCTTGTCGTGTACCGATAGGCATGAGCATAGCCATTTGTTACTGGAGTATTCCAGAGGCCATTAAATCACTGAGACTACTGTGGATACGTGCAGCATAGAAATTGAAAGGCCAGTGTCTTCAATAACCTGTAACAAAGTGAAACAAAAGGCCTTCTTTGAGATTGACAAGTCTTAGTACACTTCGTGCAATGTAAACAGAATTTGGGTTGTGTGACTGGATAAAGTCTGATATGATTTTGGTTTGACGGACGCATATCTGCTCTGGGAGTGTTCCTAAATCGCATGCTGAAGCATGCTGAAGACAATATTTATACGAGCCTAACTTATGTGATGTTGACTGAGTTTTGTTCTTCTTGAATAAAACTTCTAATGGGCCTTGAGTAAAACCCTGAGACGTTCTCGCTGAAAGTGACGCCTGAGCCTGTATTGAGCTTCAATCTCTAGACCAGAGAGTTTCAAGCCGGCGAAACTCATAGTGCTAGCACTGTGAGACTTACAGCATCGTCTCCTAAGTCACGTTGAAATAATTAGGTCGACAGTATGTCATCGACCATGCGACGAGAAAGAACATCTTCACTAATTGAAGTTTACTTGTCCCTAAATCTAGCTTTAGACTTGCGTGCTTTGGAATAAATCGCGCACCTGCTAACAGCAATTTCGCCTATCTATCTCAGCAATAATGAGCTAAGATCTCAAATAGAAAAAACCTCATTACACCAACATAATAATCCCAGCCTTCAGCTATACTATGCAACCCATCCAATCTTCGTTCTTCAACCAAATATCATTGAGGTTGATAAAGGAGGCTGAGAAGTGCGGTGGGCTTCGATATCAATGCTCAAGCAAACAATGCTAGCTTGTCGCACCTGGCATCATATTTATATAGCCAATTAGAGATTTCAGTCCTGCCTGATCATTACTCAGATCTGAGGCAAGACTCCATGGCATTCAGATCTACAATGTCTTTCTTGATAGCTGAAGCATTATTGTATGATAATCTCACTGCGTTTGCTTCTCAGATCCTCTTATGGTATCCCTAAGTCGCATCAAAACTCCAACTGTATTAATGCTTGCAAAAGAAGAGATAACACTAGTATGAATGCCAAAAATAACTCTTTTATCCGAAAGTATCCTGGAAGAGAGACGTCTATCTATTATTACTCCAAGATCAGTACATGGAAAGATACAGACAAAGTTGATATAAAGCTTTTTCTCAAGGTATATGCTAAACCTATTTGAAAGGAGTGTCCGAGTACAAAGTTCTTCCGGAATGAAATACTTAAAGTTCTTAAATTTCAGTAGATTTCCTTTGATCAAGATTAGAGAACAGACTTCCTCCCAATCTGTCTAGGACCACCAAGTAATTAAGTACAATCTAAATTTTGACACATTCCACTTAATTAAAATTGAGGAGAAAAACTTCTCCCAAATCTAGTTTTCCATTCCAAAGGATATTGGCAGGGAGATATTTGTATATAACTACCCCAAGATCAAGTACAAGATCCCACTTCCATTTTGGTAGGTTTCTCTTGATTCAGGGATCAAATTTCTTCCCAGTGGGAATTCGCACTCTGGTTCCCAATGAGAAATATAGTAAGGCTTAAGCTTGTCTTCGGAAATTAATGGCTCATCCTTCAATTGATAGGGCTACTGTGTGAACGAAGTGAATGACTTCAATTCAATTACTACTGTAATAAAGAACTAAGCGAACGCGAAAGAGACTAGCTCTTTTAGTAAGTCTATATAAGACTTACTACTTTCAATATGTAGCTAGCTCTTTAGACAGAATACAATTAGACATACAGGACCTACGTAATCCGTGGGTGCTACGTCTTCCGTATCCTTCTCGTACCAACAGCTACCATTGATGTTGATCCCAGGATCTCCAACCTCTGGCCTCACTCGTTCAAATAAATGTACTAAGAAATCCTTGTACATCACCCAAACTTCGGTATTATTTATTGATAGTTGTATTCAAGTACCTATTATCAAGAACTTTCTTTAGATATTTATGCATATATTGATTATGCTGGTAGAATTCAAGGTCTACCAATAGGACCTAAAGGTCGGGAATGTGAAAACTGCTCTATGGGAAAAGCTCCAGAGTCCAAACGCAGTTTCCTATCCAAGGGAACCTTCTGGTTCTCTCCTTGGCGCGAAATTACTACAGACACCTGAGGGCACCTTTCTTTTTATATTGTTCAGATGATCTCTTATAGGTGGGTCCAGCTAGGTATTCTGTTTCGTTTCCTCAAAGGTTGATCTTTCGATATCTATATGTATGGCTAGAGATAATCATGTATCGCTCCAGAACCTTTTATGTCCGTATGAGATTAATATGGGATGTATCGATGCTCTCTGTGCTCTCATGAGACAGCGTCAGACATAACAAGAGATCTTCCTCTGGTTCTCGAGAATGATTGTGCGATGTATGTTTAGGAAGGAGTCTTGTGGTGACGATAATGAAAATGATAAGGTCGGTAAGGGATGTTCTAGAATATATCGTCTCGCTCTAGAATATTGGAAGCATTTCATTGTTCATCGCGTCGTTGGGACTTAGATAATGAGTCCCTATAGCTTTTTAGCATAAGAAAGTTCCAGACTAAATAGGATGAACGATTTCACATATTACCTTGGGCTGGATGACTGCTGTCCTTCAGTTAAAAAGATTAGTATCTTTGGCTTTGATCTTAAAGAGACACTGTGCTTGAAGAGGATATATCTCGCAGCATGAAGAACCTCAAGCAGAAAGTTCACCAAGCTTCATAGCATGAAAGACCTTTACTTCCGCTCCATGAAGAAAAAAGTATGAAGATGATTGAGGAAAGAGCATACGAAATATCATAAACAAGATACTCGCCCTTCTACTACAAGGCTGAAGCTGACACCCAAAGCAAACATCACGGACTTGCAGCTATGTGAGTTTTTATAGAGAGAATATTGTGGCGGTTTTCGTGTATCGTGAGCTCTGCAAGAAGGTTCGTGTTATGGATCATGGTGTGTAGGATCATGGTGTGTAGGATCATGGTGTGTAGGACCATGGTCTTGGATCATTTCAGGATGAACTGCAGTCTTGGGAGTTTTTCATGATGTTGCACTGATATTTTTTGTGTCACCTCTGTTTGAGTTCTGTAGGTAGGTAGGTTTGTGTATGTATGTTGAGATTAGATATCATGCTAGAGTTCACATAACATGTTTTCTATGAGATATTGGGAATGTCCGTTGGAGATTTTGGCAGGCATTGTATTTCTTGAAGACTAATATAATACAGAACTTACCTTTCAAATAGATTACACTCTTCGTAACTATTGGAAGTCTATATCTTCTCTGTTCAAGAATGTGAAGGGTGGCACAAGCCTTATGCTGTGATGAAAGTAGATGCAGAGGATAAAAATAATCTACGTCAGAAGGCCATGTGTTTAGATCTTGTACTTCCCGAACATTATGTCATTTGCAAAGTACATATTGATTCTTCTTTACAAGATATATAACCGTCCCATACATTATTCCTGAGTTTCAATTTCCAATCGAAAGATATTTATATGCTTTCAATTATGATTGACCGCCAGCCATCACCTTCACTATCGTTTGGACTATAAGTTAAGGGGAAATAATATACATGTCAGAGCCTTGGTATTTCCATCATACTATTATACTTGAACTTAATTAGAAAAGATATATTAAAAGAATTTGCGTTTTAATTGAAGTACTTGGAATATTATTGGCATAAAAATCAAAATTAGAACTCCAACTCCATAAACATCCCATCAAACTCACCGAATACAAACTTTTTCATTCTCTCAAACCTAAATCTAGATCTAACTGCATATATATCTCACATGTTAATACATAGATACCAATCTGTTGACCTCCTGGGATCTTGGCAGCATATGCATATATATTGCATGATGCATATAAGGAGCAAACAAAACTCAACTTTTAATTCATTCTTTCCTTTTTGGTATACTGTTTGTTTGCTTTCAATATTTTGATTTCAAAGCACTTTAATTCCGAAGGCTGAATACCTAACCTTATTCCTTCATTTTTGAATATATACTCGCAGCTTAACTGCTTAGCTAGAGAATCAATCAATTCAATCTGATGCTCTTTCTGGTCTCAAGAAACCCAATACAATCTATCTATTCTATTTTTCTCAGTAAACGAAGAAGCTCAAGTTGGTTTTATCTCAACAAGGAGATCACGTGTATCAACCAGACAATCGTATTATTGATTACAAAAATCTTTAAATAAAAATAATTATTTTCCAAATTTTGAATATATTTTAAAATTCTTGAAATCTAAACTCGTTTTATATAATTACCTAATTAGATAGATTAGTGAGTAAATTCACAGCAATCTTTTAATCTTATAATATACACAGTAACAAACCCTAAGAAAAAAGATTCACCTGGTCAAATAGTCACAGCAAACACAAACATAATCACAATCACAAGCACAAAAAATAATTTAAACAATAACTCTTTAACATTTCCTTCAAAGGTTAAAAAACAACTCTATAATTACAGTGTAACATTACACATACACTACAAATTTTCATACGATCTTTCTTTTCCTCAAAATCCTCACCCATTACAATACTCATTCATGATCGATCATAATTAGATCACTCTTCCCTCTTCCCTCTTTCCCTCCTACCCAAACCCAACCCAACCCTCATGTGTACCATGCCAGACAGGCGTAACGTCCATAAAGATGGAACAAAGCTGATTAATAATTTCCCTCCCTCCCTCCGGCGGGAAAAGAATCAGGTATGTATAAAAAAAGAAAATGTGGTATCGAATTGAACGCCTCCCGGACTTTGATGTTATGTATGCATACCTGGCCATAGGTATGAATATGTTTTTTTTTGTATAAAATAGAATGAGATAGATGGATGGGATCGGATCAATCGCTTAAAGAGCGAAGATGGCAAAGAGAGCTGCGGCAAAGAGTCCACCGAATCCACTGGTGGTCTTGATTGCGCTACCGTTGAATGTAATTGGCTGGGCGCTGGCGGCAGGTGGAACGTTGGTTGCTCCTGCGACACCAGATACGGTTTGGCTAGTGCTGGATGGGAATGAGGTCGAGTAACCAGCAGCTTGGGAAGCAGCAGTGGTACCCGGGATAAGGGCTACGCTAGGGGTTGCGGATCCAACAGCTGGGGCAGTAGAGAAAACAACTTGTGGGACTGTAATTGCGGTGGCGATGACGGTAGTGGTTGATGAGGATGGGATGACGGATCCAGAGAGTGAACCAGTGGACTCAGTGCATGGAACGATCAAAGTAGTGCTGAGAGTGACGGTCGTAACTGGGGTGGAAGCAACACCTTGAGCGGATGTAGTAGCAGCAGCACCGCTTGAAGGAGCTGGAACGTAGACAGTTGAAGCAGCGGTAACGATAGCTGGGTTGGTAGAGACGTGAGCAGCACAAATACCTTGGAGGTATTTCTGAGCGGCATCAATGTCGGATGCGGAAACACCATATGCGGAAACACATCCAAAGACGTTGGAAATGAATGAAGAGTCTGGGCAGTAGCAGTTTGAATCAGTGTTGGACTCGCAACCAACCAAGTACATCCAGGTGTTCAAGCATTGAGGTAAGACATCTGGACATGGAGCAGTTTCGGTTGGGGTGACTGCACTAGATGTGGTAGTAAGACCTTGAACTGAGCTGGCTGGAGCAGTGACAGTGATGACGGTTGAGGAAACGATAGTAGAGGAAGAGTAAACAGTTGAGAGACTTGAGGTGGTCTCAAAGCTGGTGACACCTCCGGTAGTGTGGGTCAAAGTGACTGGGCAGACAGTAGTAGATGTTTGGATAACAACTGTGGTGATGGCAGTAGTTTGAACGCTAGTGGCAGTTGGAATTGGGATGGAAGTGATACCCTGAGCTGATGAAGAAGCAGCGCCGCTGGCAGTAGCAGCTGGAATAGATGTGATACCTGGGGCGCTTGAGGCTGGAGCACTCGAAGCTGGGGCACTTGAGCCTGGAGCGCTGGAAGCGGGAACAATTGAACCTGGAGCGCTTGAGCCTGGGGCACTCGAAGCTGGGGCACTTGAGCCTGGAGCGCTGGAAGCGGGAACAATTGAACCTGGAGCGCTTGAGGCTGGAGCACTAGTTGGGACAATGATACTGGTAATAACACTTGAAGTAACAACCGTAGACGAAGAACGGACAGTAGAAGTCGTTGAAGTAGTCTCAAAGCTTGTTACACCTCCAGTAGTATGAGTCAAGGTAACTGGGCAAATAGTGGTTGATTCGTGAATAACGACGGTAGTGTAAGCAGTTGTAGCGAGGCTAGTTATGCTGGTAGTGGCATGGGATGAAATTGGGGCACTTCCGACGGATGTACCGATGATAGAAGAGACCTTCGAGGAAGATGGACTAGATCCGGAGGAGACTGGGCAAGCAGTTTGGCCAGAAAGAAGAGCACCTGAAGATACACATGGAGCAGAAGGAGCGGCGGAACCAGATGAATGTGGAGCAGTAACTGAAGTACCAATAATGGAGCTGGCAGATGATCCAGGAGCACTTGAAGCTGGAGCGGACGAACCTGGGGCGGATGAACCTGGAGCGCTTGAAGCTGAGGCAGATGAACCTGGAGCACTTGAAGCTGGGGCAGATGAATGTGGAGCAGTAACTGATGTACCGATGATGGAGCTGGCAGATGATCCCGGGGCGCTTGAGGCTGGAGCAGATGAACCTGGAGCGCTAGAAGCTGGAGCCGATGAGGCCGGAGCAGATGAACCTGGAGCGCTAGAAGCTGGAGCCGATGAGGCCGGAGCAGATGAACCTGGAGCGCTAGAAGCTGGAGCCGATGAGGCCGGAGCAGATGAACCTGGAGCACTTGGACCTGGAACAGATGAAGCTGGAGCAGATGAACCTGGAATTTCCGTGGCAGTGACTGGGCAAATGGTAGTAGAAACTGGGATACTATAAAACTCATTAGTAAAAACTCCAAATATGGCAAATATATTAAACTTACATGACAGTAGTCAAAGCAGTCGATCTAGCTGGACAGTCGGTAATAGAAGCAGCGCAGGAAATGATGGTAGAAACAGAGGTAGCGTAAATGGTAGAAGTGGTCAATTGAATAACAGAAGAGTTTCCTGAGGCAGAACCGGCTGGGGAAGAATGAACAGAGGTACCAATGATGCTGGTGGCAGCACTGGAGCTTGGCTTGATTGTAGTCTGGATGCTAGTCTCGACACTTGAGCTTGGCTTGACTCCGGTTCCGATAATGGAAGATTTGGTTGAACCAGTTCCGACAAGTGTGTATGAAGTACCTGTTGGGGAAGCAATGCTCTTAACTGGAGTGATTTTGGCGGAAGAGGCAACCAAAGTAGTCTTGGATGAAGATTCAAAAGAAGTGTGCTTGGAGGATTCGCTGGAAGTGGTCTTGACAGAAGTGGTCTTGACGTAGGTGGTAGATGGGTGTTGAGTAGTAGATGCCGAACTGCAGTCGAATCCTACCGAGCTAATACCAACACTGCAAGATGCTTTTCCTGTAGCGGCAGTGTGGGTTTGACTTGCAGAAGAGTAGACAACGGTGACGTTCTTAGCACCACCACATTGAGTGTTGGAGATGATGGAACCTCGACTTGAGCAAGGAGAGACCTGTTTGCAAGTAGATCCATCGCCCATACCATAGTGGAATTCCAAATCACAGTCGAACTCAGTAGTAACGTGAACTGTAGAGATGGAGAAGGCGGAAATACTGCCGGAGTATCCAGAGCTTGATGATCCACCGGATTTGGAGGAGCCACCACAGGAGAATTGAGGGCAGGATCCATGGTTTGAGGAAGCTGTACCAGAAATGCATTTTCCTCTTGAGGTTCTTGGGAACTTGGGGTTATCACGTTTGCCGAAAGAGTTTGAGCATGTGAATCCACTGAAGGAGAAATCATCATAGAAGCTGAAGCTTCCAGATGTAAGGTCGCCGAAATCCCATCCACTCTTTTGAGTTGAAGAGCACTCATTGTTGGTGTTTGAAGGGCAAGAAAAGCTAGACTTATCTGACCATCCGGTGGCAGCAGCAAGCTGGAAGCCGGTGGCCAAAGCCGCAAGGCCCGATAGAGTTTGAAACTTCATTATTATAAAGCAAGTTGATCAACGAGTGTTGGTATGAAATGAAAAAAATAGAAAAATAATGAATGAATCTTTTGAAAAGAGATGGTGAGTAAAGAAGTGAATGACTTTAACTCCCACAGGGCGATATAATTATAAGAAAGAGCAAATGAAGAGGTTGTAATGAATGGAGTAGAAACCTAACATAAGGATTCTCAGGATCTGTTATATCTTAAGAAACGGTTGGGCCATGACCACTCCCGCACAGCCTTGATCCCTTTCTTTGGATCTTTCCGTGTTGAGCCACTTGGAAACTAGATGTGAACCTTGTCGAACAAACGTCAAGGATTCTATAGACGAGGAGAATCTTTGAAGAAGCTAATACTGAGCAAGGCTATATCCTTTCAGACCCATGCATGCGCGCGCCTTTTTATCCTTTTTCTCTCGATGTGGAGTCTGTGATCCCACACCTCAAAGAAACGCAGTTGGCTGAGATGTGCCAAGAAGGTCTTTTGGAAAAAGGCAATGCTTGTTAAATCGAGGGGTGCAGGTGCCGAAAAGAACAGGTGAAACTTGACCATGCGAACTACTGCAGGTACACCGTCCCAGTCAGGGGTAATTTATCAAAGACGGATTTATTTGTTCCTTGTATTAGTCGTGCATCATGATGATGCCCAGAACCCGTAAGAATCAATGCTTATTGCTTACATTGCAATCAGATGTAAAACTTCGGACAAACAAACGTATCTTTTTAAGTATCTAACCCATGATTCATCTCACCTTGCTTTGGGTAGATCTAGAAGTTAGACATCTGGATTTTTGGATTGTTCAACATTCTGTGCCTCCAAGCGCTCATTTCTCCATAGCCATGTGAATACTTGCGGAGTTGTAACGCAAAAAAAGAGACGTGCCTGGTTGAATACAGGTTAACGCTCAGCCGAGCGGCAAAGGAAGGAATGATTGGGTACTGTACAATTTAGAAGTTATGCAGAGCATCTTCATGGCTTTTTCGGAGATTTTTATTCTTATGCATGGTATACGAAAGCGATTCTTGATTGATTTAATTGGAGATAGTACTCTCTCCGCAGGTAGAATCCAGACACGAGGTGGTAGATCAACTAGATGAACCCACAAATAGATGCTTACAATCACAGCGGTTGTTAATCTCAAATGACATGATGATTGGATAAATTGCGACTGTGATCGGAGTGATCGGAGTAAAATCAAGGATGAGAGCGCCATTTAGAACATTTTGGGGGTGTTCATGGGGTAAAAGTAGAAGAGGATCAGTGTTTCACGATTTTTGCACAGCCTCTCCGACAGAGATATAATATGGAGCCGTGATTATCATTTATCATCCAAACCTTTCAACCAATCCAAAACCCTCAAAGCTCAAAATATAAAAAGTAAGTAAGAATATTTTGAAACGACTAAATACTAAAATCCCCGTTTGGTGGATATGAGAGGACAATGTTTAGATAATCGATTGAGGATCCGAGAAAGGATTCCCATCATTTCATTCAAATACCATTACGCCTCATTAAGATTTGCTTATACGGAGTACTATGCAAAGGGGCTCGGGTCACATTGAGTGACATAACTATTCGTAATATTTTTTAGGATTCGTGCCTGTCTACTCCTTATGAACGATGGAACTTTGGGGGGACAAATGCAACATTGATCCTGCCCTTTCCCATTCGTTGTTTAACTTAATAGTTATTAATACACTATGTTATGAGGTTACAATACATAAATCTTCAGGGTAGGAGGATCGCTTATTCCAACGATATACATATCTCCGTGCCACGGACTCACTCTGAAATCATTCGAGGTTTTCTCTTTTGGGGAAAAAGAACCATTTAGGAATTAAGGACCCCAGGTAATATCACGGACTGACGTTGAAAAAGGATGTGGTAAATTGATGGATACTTTGAGGGCCGGGAGCCCTGTTCAAAGCATATCGACTTAATTGGTTACTGGAATCGCTACCCATGATCACCGGGGCCATATAACTATCTTTTCGAGCTTATTCTTAAAAATGATAGCTGAATTGAGTTAAAATTCCAAATGAATTTCTTCCCTCTAGGGAAGAGAAACCATAAAGTTCATTTATATCGGATGATTTTTATTTCCACGGTAGATCATTGACGGCTTTCATCACTGAAAGAGAAATTGATTTTTGGCACAGATGAGAAATCTGGGATTGAAAAAGGAAATGCATTTCCGATCAGGTAAACTAATGCAGGAATAATTCAGGAGCACATACCCGGATCATTCGATTTCTTCGGAGTAAGATTCTCATCAGGATTTTGTAGGAGTAATTTATGGACAACTTGGTGACGAGACTCCAACTCTAACTCAACATGAAGGCCGAAATGGTTCGCATCCCCGATAATAAATAAGGTCACATGTACCAATATATGATAATATCGAACCGAATATAAAGTTAATGAACCTAAAAATTGCTCAGAGTGAGCCCATGTCAATTTGTATGGCAGTTGTGACATTCAACACTCAATCAGTCCCGTCCCACAATGCCTTCATGTCCTATCAGACAAATACCACCATATGAAACGTTGGTGGGCGGGAATTCCTTGGTAAAAAAAGAATACCGATAGGCTGTAAGAGGAAACACTTTCGGATGAAACAAGCTTAGAACGCCACCAAAACGGAAAATTATTCGATACGAAGGTTGTTGTTTATGCATCATCGTCAAAAGAATCGTGTCACAATTCAATACATGATCTGGAATCATGGTTGTTTTTGGGCGGCATGGAAATTTACGGTCATTGTGTGCTGAAAGCAATGAATGATTCAATGATATGAAGGTCTAAGCAACATATCTTCTAATTCTCCATCGCTCTATTGGTTCATACCTTTTACCGAGATATCAACGATATTACATTCTCTGCGACCTGCCCAAAGACCAGTCCGTACATATTTCACTGAATCTGATAGACAGATTATTCGGATATCTAAAAGAGCAAAGGTAGAACTTAGAAGGTACGTGAGGGGTCTCAATAAGGTTAGCGGAGATCAGAGCAAAATAAGATTTGGGTGTCCACTGCCCAGGCCCCAGACTCACAGACATGTCCCCGTCCGCCGCCTCCATCTAAATTATGGGACGACATCAGACACGAGAAAAAAGAACATAGTCGGTGGAGACAACTCTATTCAATACATGACCGTGCGCCGAAGAGACCCTAATTTCGGTAGACTATTTTTGAACGTTCTTTGTTGATAATGAAATGGTCTTCGCTATGGGCTTGAGAATACCATCTATGGGGCAATACTTCAATTCGAAGATATGCCGTCTTTATGATTTTGGAAACATCACAGCCGTTCAAGTTATACGTCCAAAATATACACCGGTAACGTCAAGGTATCGTATGCATAACATAACACACACAACATAACAAGGAAAGCCCGGGAAGTCTGAAACCACGATCAAAAGTTTTCTGTTGGAACTTGGTAGGAGCATTGCAAGGAGGTAGTAAACTGCGGCAAAGAAATTCATGCTATAGGAAATGACGAAATGCTATAACTCAAACCATCGAAACTGGTTATCCACATCTTTTAATGGATCGACGAACTATTGCCGCTTCAATGAATCGTTTTGACGTTTTGGACTCGGTGGCGCTTGCTAACATTGACGATAATGCGAGTGGACGGGTCAAAACAGTCTTCAATGGCTTTGGAGCAACGGCTTTCAATATACGGGAGAAGACTCGTCTGGAATGATCTAGGCTAGTTGCGGGCTTGATGTTCCAAGCGAGTGAGATATACAAGATGGATTTGATGTTATGAATGAGGTCGATATTTCAAATGGATTCCATCCCAAAGGAACTATTCATTGAACTGAATCTCACACTCCGCGCGAAAGGGTTTCATATCGGGATCTTGAAAGGCGAAGAACATCAAAACAGTGAAAGAAAATGAAGAAAGTTGTGAATTCCCTGTTTCTGAAGGTGTGTCTCCTGATGGATGCATATGACGGGTTCGAACCTTTAGCACTTCCTTCTTGTCATTCAACAATAGGCGCAAAGGTCTGAAAAGTCATCGCCTTTCTACAGTCTTTACTTAAGTAGCTACGATATACGGGCGAGCCAAGGTTTGTAGGATGCCTTTCATCCAGAAACAGCCATCTCGACCTGTCTATATCATGCGAAAGACTGTTTCCTTATCATTATGTTCCTTTCATTAGGATATCACTTGCGAATAATAAACTCAAAGTATAGATAATCTATACTCACTCGACTTCTTCTATTACATACTAAAATAATGAATTCTCTATCCTCTTTCTTGCTTAATCCACACCTACTTCTCACTTTCTCAATAACCTTACCCTTTCTTTTCGTTCTCTCCGAGCCTTGATTTACTTTCAACTTTCTCTCATCCATTCTACTTTCATGTTCACTTCACTTCACTCACTTCGAATCACACATCTCATCTCATCTCATCCTATACAACGAAAGCTATTATTACTTAGTTGCAGAAATAGTTTATTCAACTTATTATCTTCTCTCACAGATACCTAACCTAGTACTTCGTAGGTCACCTCATTCATTTAAAATCATGATGTGAAAGAAGGTAAGTCCTAATTTACTACCTAGTATGTACAGAGTATTTACTTTTCCCAACACAAGTATGAGTAAATGGTCAAGTATGCTAAGTATCTAAGTCTCAACGAACCTCGTTGGTAAAAGTAGTGTGTAATGCGTCTTCATTTTCATTTTTTTTTTTGTTTTTTTTGGCTTAGAGATCTAAGCTGTAGGTGGATAGATAGGTATTAATTACTAATTACTACCTATGTAAGTAGTTTTTTATGTAATTGTCGTACTATTTGAATATATGAACTCCTATCCCCATGTATTACGTCATTGCAAGGGACTTTTCGGTAGATATCTTCTAGACTTCTCATTTAGCACTAGGTATCTCTTTTGCTGTAATTTTACTTTGATTTATGATAGATAGATAGATTTGTTTGATTTTATTTTATTTGATTTGGTTTTATACAGCAGCTGCTGTAATGAATGTGGTAGTTATGAGTCTCGGGGGAATTTAAATGTATGTTGATGTTGATGTTCCTCGGTGGATGAGTATAATATATTGTTAGATGATTACGCTTGCGCCTGAGTATTCATAAACTAATGGAGAGGTTTGGGGAAATATTCATTCTGATGGAGTTGTCCTTGGGTATTTATGTGGTTGTTATAATCTTGTGAAATGTTGTGATGGTGTTATGAATTGGGCATAGCTACTGCTTGAACGCTTTTGTGGATATGCTAGGTATCGTGTTCATGTCTTCAGGAGCTTATGGAGAAGATTTTTTAGGGGAGTAATAGGTTTAACGGGAATTACAAACACTTGAAAAACTCACCGGGGGTTTGTTGTTTGTTCATGTAAAGTTTTTATATTGGATAAGAGACCTTATGCCCGCTGACTTTAGTTTGGGTAATTTGAATTTGAGGAAAAGTTGAAAGGTTCATGATTTCACATCACTAGCATTAGATCTTGAGTTTGCCTCCCACTTCGAGCGGGTTGAACTCAGCAGGAGCAAATTTCTCGTGGTCATCTTTGCTCTACACTTTGAAATCCTTCCACTCTAGATAGAGTTCATTATATCACAAATACTCATAACTTTAAGTGAGTACCCTAGCAACAATATCTATCAACTTACAACACACTACCACATCAATATCTCACATCCACCTCGTCTCCGCACTCCCCTTAATAATCCCATCCAACTCACTCGTGGTCCACCCACCATAAAAATCCCCCGGTTGCGGAATAACTTTCTCTCCATCCACAAAACAATCCCATGGCCCAGCATAAAAACTCAAATAACCTTTCAACCCCTCATATTGAGGGGTAGGAGATTCATAAGACCATATTCTGTTGGATATTACATGTTCCCTCGATTCGGGTGCAGCAGCTTGATCCGAAAGGGAACAAGGTACAGGAAGAGGGGAAAATGGAGGTGGTAATGAAATCGAGTAATATGTGGCCCAGCCTTTGTATTCACAAAAGGTGGACTTGGTAGTTGGGGTCAAGTTGAAATTTGGGGATAGGGATGTGGCGGGAAGGTAGTATGCTGTGGTTATGTTAGGTTATATGTTGACAGAGGAGAAGGATCTTGAAGAAGTGTTGTATAGAAAGGGATATTAACTGGGTGAATGATATGTTTCTAAAACCCAATATGCGTTATTTGTTTCGGCGATGGTTTGGCCTCGATATTTTACTATCAGGTGGCGAGGTGTTTTCTCAAGGAGCGGTGGACGTGGAAAGTTTTGAACGTTAAGTCGTGGTTTTGGAGGCATTTTAGAAAGACTTTTCTGTGATATAAATCAAATGTATTCAATTACAACAAATGAGAGTCAGGAGATTGATATATCATAAATGGATTTCGTGAATGAGGGGCAAATCGGTTGTATGTGCTACTGTATAGGTATGCATGCATAATTAAGTTTGGATGACTAATCGATCTAAGCTTAAGCGTAGCGCCCCGCAATCACACATGTGCAAGATCCAAGTTCACAAGGCTGGATTGACTCCGAAACCTCCAAATCCTACTTATCTTCATCACAATACCTATAATATCAGAAAACTACTCTGCTACTTGTCGGCATAATATTTACCATTCAATAGCATCATGTCGGGACTCGAGAAAGCGCTCTTCAACTTGAAGGTACGTCATTCTACTTATCTTCCACCAAACATCGCACATCATCACTCGGGCCTGCGCATTAATATATCGTCAAACTAACTTACCATCCAGTTCACTGCGAAACAAATCAACCGACAAGCCAATAAAGCTGGACAAGCAGAAAAGGCAGAGAAAGATAAACTCAAGAAGGTAATTTTACCTGTTCATGGCATCCTCTCCTAAACCACAACTCACTAACATTACTCACTAGGCAATCCTACAAGGCCACCCTGATATCGCGAAAATCAACGCAGAAAATGCCATTCGTAAACAAAATGAAAAACTAAATCTACTGAGGTTGGCAAGTAGAATCGATGCCGTGGCTAGTAGAGTACAAACGGCTGTTACCATGAGACAAGTTACCGGTAGTATGACGAATGTAGTAAGAGGAATGGATCAAGCTATGAAAGCTATGGATTTGGAGAAAGTTCGTTTCCTTTTCTATAAATTATCATATTTCAACTCACTCCCCCATATACGCATATGCTAATGAAATATTAAATCGATAGATCTCAGCAGTAATGGACCGTTTTGAAACACAATTCGAAGATTTAGATGTAGCAACTGGCTACTACGAAAATGCCACTACATCTGCGACTGCAGTAGCAACTCCTCAAGAAGACGTCGATAGGTTGATGAACCAAGTTGCTGATGAGGCGGGAATTGAGTTAAAGCAAGAGATGAAGAGTCCCGAAGCCGCGGCTCCTGTTAAATCAAATCCAACCGAAGTAGAAGAGGATGGGTTGGGTGAGAGATTGAGGGCTTTGAGATCGTAAAACTGTCGGGATAGATATGCTGGAAAGATGTTTGGGTATAGGCGTTGAGGATAAGAACAGAATGAAGAACGGCGAACTGGTGTCATTTTCTCGTTCAGGGATATATTTGTCAATGGATTTTTTAAGCACATTCAAATTAGAGTGTTTGCAAGAAATTAGAGAAACGGTGCCTGGTAATGATAGGAAACTTGCAACAATGTATATTCAACCCAATCTATAAATCCAAGTGGGCATGCTCTTATATCAAAGATTATAAAGTTTCGAAAGGATAATTCCACTGGAATACTAGGTAATTAACCAGCGATTAATTTATAAAAGGCTTCAATCAAAGCTCCCCTCTTTTCAGTATTCTAATATCATCTCATTTCTTCGCTCTCATACTTCAGCTTCAAACACAACTTTCATTCACTTCCATTTCATGACCTTTTGTTTTGCATCGTCGGATCATCTTATTCTTATTCTTAGGATAGACGGTGAGGAACCAATATGAGGAATTACTATGAGGCGATGGGATGGGATGGATGGTTTGGGTTTTTTGCTTTTTTGCTTCTCTATGGTTGTTTGAGGGGTTTAAAGCGGGAGGAGAGAAAAGGAGGGGAAAAAAGGCCAGCAAGAAAGTAAAAGAATAGAAGAGGAGAGAGATGTGCAATAATCCACAATGCCCTGTGGTATTTAGTATTAAAATATCTGTTGTTAGGAAATTTGAATAATCGTTTTATATCGACTATCGCTTTCGTGGTATTTTTATTACGCTACTGGTTTTGGGGGGTACTAATTAGACACTAGGTAGTTGTTATATTTTGCGTGGTTAATCTTATGTAGTCTTAGCTGTTGTTTTATTGTACTATATGGCTTATAAATTATATATACCTACAAATGTATCTAGTAAGGTATACAAAACTCGAAATTTATCTATAGGCATGTATATCTTGTACTTTTCGACTTAAAAAGTACTGATTCGATTGGTGATTAGATGGTCTGCTCGAATGTGTGTTTAAGGTTATAAGGTCATAGGAGATGCTAAATTGGGTTTATTTTTGTAGGATTGTATTGTATCTATGTTTCTGTGTGTGTACTTTATAGTGTTGTAGGGTATCATAATTTTAGGTAGGGTAGAGGAGGGGAGAGGAGAAGAGAAGAGAAGAGGGATAGAGGTTTTTGCTGTGTGTGATATTTGGGGGATTGGGGATATCGAAATATTTAGGGGGATTATAATTACAATTACCTGGAGGTTGGGAGTGGGAGTGAGGAGAGAGGAGGGGCGAGGGGGAGATGTTATGGCTATAAGGGGTGTGATCTGAAGCTGGGAGAAGGTGGGTAGACACTGGATTATAGGGGAGATGGAGTTGTAGTTACGGATTCTAGTATTTTTCGGTTCTAATAGTGTTGCTTTTGTTGATTAATCGTAAGTGTGTTACGATGCTGCGTCTGGTTTATTTATGCTGAGTGCCTATTCGGATAGTTGGTTTCCTTGCTACTTATCTATCTTTATTCAGCGTGATCTACTTTGTTCTCTTCTCCTTCCACTCTAGTCTTACTCGGCTCTTAACATTACTGAAGTAAGATGATAGTTTGTGAGATATTTCTCTCTAAAAGGTCCAGTTCTTGCTTTGATATACTTGGACTGTAGACAACTTGGACATTGATCATACCAAATATGTTCCTAGTCACACCCATTGCGATGATTTTCTTTCGTCTCTTGCTAACTCCTCTCCCGCCATTCTTCCCATATATGAATTATTGTTTTATTTCTTATGATTTTCCATGTCGACCGTAGTAAAATTGAAGGAATGTAACTCACTACTCGAGCTTTAGTTGAGATGCGCGGGTATCAGTTGAAGGTTGAAGATTCCCACTGGCCAATTTGTTGATTCTTGGAGCAATACGGATGAGATTTTCTAGAACATGATGATGATCAACACTATAATCAAAGCTGCTTGCATAGAGAGAAGTCTGGAACGTAGAGAAAGCGACAATGCTTACTGTTACTACCACTTTTGTGCTCGTAGAGCCAGAGATTTTGTTTCGATTATTTTAGTGAAGAGATATAACAAAATGATTTACGGACATTCAAGTTGAAAATCTGTATTATTTGCACAGTAATTCTACCGTTACGCAGCAAAGGGGAGAAAAGCTTGAGGGGAGCGGGGTGGTTGCAAAGGGTGGGAAAAGGGCAGACTTAAGCTTATACTTATAATTAGCGGAGTGCAAGGAAGGAAGAAGAGAATTTATTGTTTGAACTTTGGTCTTTAAATCAAGTAGACGATTAGATAGTACTGGTTCTTTGTTCAATGTTAAATTTTTGAAAGTCATCTTGATTTCAAGTGATGATCTCGTTTGCTGAACTTTTCTGGCTCATTTCATAATGAAAATGCCTTGCAAAGCATCGGAGATGCATAATCAGATGTAACGGAATAGACCAATTCGCAATACTCAGTTTGGTATGTAAATATACTTTGACTTAGTGAGTATGCACATAGCGAACTGCCGTTATATGTTTTTGTGCTTTTGTTTCCCAGTGTAGGGAAAAGGAACCATCTTCCCCTCCCTTCCCCTCTTTTCAATTCGAATATACTTCATTTGAACTAAAATTTTGAGTATTAATGAGGCTAATAAACAATTTCTAGATAGATGGGACTATAAGAATGTAGTATGCGGGCGAAATAGATGTATCGAGAAGCCTTCGGGCAGGAGGAGTGGGCTACTTCTGTTTTTACTATCTCTGGTTGGTGATAATTGGTAGATAATGGGTATTATTACTTAATATGACGTAATATGTTAGTATCAAGTCATTTTGTGGAGTTGTGCTTGATATTTTGGTCACTTAGTGATGGTCAGGGAAAATTAAGTGGCGCAGAATATAAGGGCAGGGCAGCTTGACTTACATAGTAGCCTCGACTTAAGCCTTCTTTACGATAATAGGCTTACGGTTGTCTAAATATATCCTTCTAAATTATGACAGAGGTGGAGATGAATGCTTACTATTTTTTTGTTGGTAGTAGCACTTGCTGACTTTATTATGCTACATATTTGTGTAAACCAAAAGACTACATAGCTGTCCATCGGCGGAGAACCGGCAATTGCATTTACTGGAGTCGCTATAATACGATTCACAATTTAGCTACGGAAAGCCATACATGGAAGCTTAATTTTGCTAAGAAGGGCTTTTGTCGCCATTTCGTCGATTCATTGTTTTTTGAATCCTAGAATAAGGGTTAGCGAGCTTGGGCGGAAAAGACACCAACAGCACTTCAAAGCTTGACAAGCTCCATGTATCTTAGCCCTATCTACTCCATAAAATCAGGCTTTTTCAACATCTATCATGTCAGTTGACGTAAAATTAATGTTGGTAATTCAGAGCCAAATTGTTTTAGGTTGCCAAAAGCAATGGCGGCTCTATGCATAGGTTATGAGGAAAAGGAAGAAAGATCTTGAAATATAACAGCATCTTCCAAGAAGAATTTAGTCTTATCCCATATACGTGAATAACTTACTGTTTATACGTAAATTATGGGAACACTTCGACCATCAACCGCAAAAAGGTCATAAACATGGTCACCAAAATTCAACCCACAATTTCCACCTATCTAGATAAGACTCTAAACGCCAGAGGTTAAGGTTTAAGCCGGCTAAAAATATGTATATTTACAGGATAAGGATGGAGAGAGTTTATATAAGAGTAATTCGCTAATTATGCTTTAGCTCAAAACTTTTCTTAGCTATATTTTCGGACAGATCAAACAAGTATTCCAGAACATTTCGATATATATATATATATATATACATACATAGTAAACTACACTCACCAAATACAACCAAATACACCCACTCCAAGTAAAATGTCGACCCCCCGCAGCACCAAATTTAATACCAAAACCAGCTCTAGCAATCCCAACAAAAAGTCCTCATCAAGCACACAAAGAACCGCTCAATCAAGCACAAACACACGCAGCACCAACCCCGGTCCTCCTGAACAAACTGAGGAACAAAAACTCGCAGAGACAAAAAAATTAAACGCAGATCTCGATGCTCTGGATAAGAAATTTGAACCTTCTTTTCCGAAGAAAAGTCGATTTGCGCATGAGGATTTAGATTATAAGAAATATAATATTGGGGGAAGTTCTTCGCCGGGGGCGCAGTTGGTTAAGGAGATGGGGAGAAGTGAGGGAAAAAAGAGTGATGGGCAAAGGAGAGGGGGGAGTGGTAGCGGGAGTGGGTCGGCTGGTAGTGGGAGAAAGTAAAGTTGGATATGGAAAAGGGATGCACGGTAAGTTACTTGTGGTGTGTTGTTGAACGATTCTGTGTTAGGTAGATGTACTTACGTGTGTTGAAGTATAATGTGAGAATTCTAGCGGGGTACGAAATGCATAGTTCCTGTGTGAAAGTCATTATGCTACCTCCAGTAGGTAGTAATTCTAAACTTTAAAGGAGGGAATATATATATTATCTTAGAAGATAATGGAGATGGTACTCTGACATAGGATCCCAAGTGACCTGGGCCGGGAACCTTCAAGAAGTTACCAAAGTTCCATCTAATAACCAATAGTGTATTATAGAATGATAATTCTAGTGATTTAGGTACAGTATACTTAATTCAGACATGTGAAAGATAAGAATAGAGGTAAATTATTCATCAAAAAATTGTTTATGAATATTCAAATCAGAAGGAAGATATTAATATTGCTCAGTGCTTTTCATTCCTCTCTCCCGTTTTTCAACATGCATCTTTCAAAGTCTCAATATGCATCCCCCACTGAAAAGTACAATATACCACCTATTCATCCATCTCATACTCCATACCAATAAAAATAACACAAAGCACAATAGACTTTAGAAAACAACACAAAACTATCCAACTCATTCTATATTATAACAAATAAAGAACAATAACCAAACAAAGAACACACTTACAGCTCCCTCCCAAAATAGTTCCAATACCAATTCATCTCACTTCACACACTATCCCCCCTCCTCTTAATTCACTCCATCACCCTTTTGATCATATCGATATGAATATCAATATTTCATTCACTTCCCTACCCACTATTCACCCACCTATTCTTTACCAATCATACTCAACCAAAACCTACAACCATATTACTCCTTCACAATCCAT